TCTGAAGACCTGAGAGTTGTTCCTCCGGCACTGCCAGCACAGGTCTGTCCTGGGCTTAGTGCTTGAGATGTGGGGCAGCAATTTTCTCCTTAGATTCCTGAAGGAAGACACATACCACTGGAAAATACAGAAATAATGTGAGATCAATAAAAGTAGTGCCAATCATGTTGGAGGTAAATTAAATAATCAAAACGTGTTGTTTATGCTTTACATACCAAGTGTTGTCATCGATTCCTTGTAGAGACACCACACCGCTGCTGATAAAGGTACAATAAAATGTTATAGTATAATATTTATAGTATAACATTTTATTGTACCTTTATCATAAAAATTACACTGTTCCCCATTTATAGTCTGGTTATAATGTGTTTTATTTCAAGGGAGTATTGAAACATACCCCAGAGGCTGCTATAGCCTATCATTCTTTTGCACATGGGCTATTGTGACTGTGCCATTTTTAATCAGCTGTACTGTATAGCCTACACTTGACTGAGTGATCTGTTAGAGCAAAACCGGTTCATTTTGTCAAACCAAGGAGGAGCAATGCAGTCACTTGGTGAGTTATTTATTAACCATAACCACATTGTCTAGCCATATTGTCTAGCATAATATACCCATTTTTAGATATAAGAACTATAGAATAATTAATGTATTTTTGGGGAAACATTTTAAAGCACACTTGTGCTATGGTAAATACCGGTATGTTGATCAAGAATGTAACTTACCACTGGTAAGGCTATTAAAATACCTAATATAAATGTGTTTTATGGTCATCTTACAAAGCAAGAAGATTTCCTCTAAGAAATGTCTGAGAATTCATCATCCTTATTTGATCAGCCAGGAGCAAGTATTGTCAAGAGTAGGTTAATCAATTGAAAACTGATGTAGTTTTATGATACAAAATGGGAAAAGGTACACAAAAAGTGCATGTCACAGCAGTGTGTAGGAGGGAGATTCCAAGATGTGGGAACTGTGCATGAGGACATGAGACAAAGGAACGTGTAGTTCCGGTAGAAGAGGTTGTGTGTGTCAACCGTAGGGGTGCCCATGTTGCTGGGGGATCTGAGGTGTCTGGTGCGAGAGAGGGCAGGTTGAGGTGGCCATGGTCAGAGTAGTGCAGAAGATGTCATATGCTGAGGCAGTGACGAAAGTAGAGGAGGGTGGATCAAGAGTGAGGGATTCTGAGAGTTATCCCTGTGAATATTAGATCTGTGCCAGAACAGAGGGAAAGGCCAATGAGTGATACTGTATATGTTTCAGTAAGGTTGTCTTCTTAGCATTTATAGCAATGGTTATCAACTGTACTGCAGAGATTGAACGTAAGTCACAGAAAATAGATGTTGTGGTGGCAGCTACAGAGAAGTACTTGGGGGTACTAGATTTGACTTCAGAAGAGTAATAGGGTGTGTTGAGTGGTAGTGTCCCGTCCTCTCAGGGCGTTGGCCTGGGGTAGAATCAGATAGGGTTAAAGTAGTGGAATAAGGTGGTGGGTTTTAATGAGTGTAGGGTTAGTTGGTAGGGTAATTAAAAATATATGTTTATTTTATTTTTCCTGTTTCCCATTTTCCCATTTTGTATCACAAAGTGTAATGGATTTATACTATAGTTCAGCTGGGGGCGGTAATGCAACATATTGGATGCCAACCGCCTTTAAAGTCAACTGAAGAAGGACGTTTGGTAGTAGAGTTTGTGGCAGGTTTTGTAGTTATCCGCGGGCTGGGTCAGAGATTTTACAGAGCGCCCGGTGAACATCCACAACGATAGAGTGAGTGGTAGGATCGTGACAGCCGGTTAAATGGCGTCCCTTGAGAAGGCAAGAACAAGATGTACAGTTGAAGTCGGAAGCTTACATACACTTAGGTTGGAGTCATTAAAACTCGTTTTTCAACCACTCCACAAATTTCTTGTTAACAAACTATAGTTTTGGCAAGTCGGTTACGACATCTACTTTGTGCATGACACAAGTAATTTTTCCAACAATTGTTTACAGAGAGATTACTTCACTTATAATTCACTGTATCACAATTCCAGTGGGTCAGAAGTTTATATACACTAAGTTGACTGTGCCTTTAAACAGCTTGGAAAGTTCCAGAAAATGATATCATGGCTTTAGAAGCTTCTGATAGGCTAACTGACATAATTTGAGTAAATTGGAGGTGTACCTGTGGATGTATTTCAAGGCCTACCTTCAAACTCAGTGCCTCTTTGCTTGACATCATGGGAAAATCAAAAGAAATCAGCCAAGACCTCAGAAAAAAATTGTAGACCTCCACAAGTATTGTTCATCCTTGGGAGCAATTTACAACACCTGAAGGTACCACGTTCATCTGTACAAACAATAGTAGGCAAGTATAAACACCATGTGACCACGCAGCCGTCATACCGCTCAGAAAGGAGACGCGTTCTGTCTCCTAGAGATGAACGTACTTTGGTGCGAAAAGTGCAAATCAATCCTAGAACAACAGCAAAGGACCTTGTGAAGTTGCTGGAAACAGGTACAAAAGTATCTATATCCACAGTAAAATGAGTCCTATATCGACATAACCTGAAAGGCCGCTCAGCAAGGAAGAAGCCACTGCTCCAAAACCGCCATAAAAAAGCCTGACTACGGTTTGCAACTGCACATGGGGACAAAGATTGTACTTTTTGGAGAAATGTCCTCTGGTCTGATGAAACAAAAATATAACTGTTTGGCCATAATGACCATTGTTATGTTTGGAGGACAAAGGGGACCGCTTGCAAGCCGAAGAACACCATCCCAACCGTGAAGAACGGGGGTGGAAGCATATTGCTGTGGGGGTCTTTTCTGCAGGAGGGACTGGTGCACTTCACAAAATAGACGGCATCATGAGGAAGGAAAATTTTGTGGATATATTGAAGCAACAATCTCAAGACATCAGTCAGGAAGTTAAAGCTTGGTCGCAAATGGTTCTTCCAAATGGACAATGACCCCAAGCATACTTCCAAAGTTGTGGCAAAATGGCTTAAGGACAACAAATAAAGTGGTGATCCTAACTGACCTAAGACAGGGAATTTTTACTAGGATTAAATGTCAGGAATTGTGAAAAACTGAGTTTAAATGAATTTGGCTAAGGTGTATGTAAACTTCTGACTTCAACTGTATGTCAGGAGACGTGCAGTATTATCATAAGGAGACGTATACTTGGAATACGGAGGAGGAATGGAGGGAAAAAGAGAGGCAGAGAAGGTCTGAGAGAGAGGGAGGAAGAGGGTGAGCTTGAGTCGGTTAAAAATGGCGGGGAAAGGTAGATGGTTTGTTAAAGAAGAATGGTAGAAAGTGTAAGCAGAGTGAGCTGAAGACAGGAGGAGAAATGGAAGTGAATGAGGGCGAAGTATCGGAGGTGGTAGCTGTGGTGAAGTTCTCGGAGCCCGAGGCTTGCAACGAGGGTCAGGATAAAGATGAGCCTGTGACAGTAGGAGTGACGTTTTTGGAAAAAGTAGTCCCTTGCCTTTTGGCTGATCCATTTGTGGTTTCAGGGTGGGTGAAAACATAGTTGGGTGCTGTGGAATCGGTGAGGGTAACCAGAAGTGGTCTTGTGATAATTGTTTGTGTTTCTGCTGGTCAGAGGGAGCAGGCGCTCCGTGTTAAACGAATGGGGGCAAGAGATGTGAATTGTTTTGCTCTCAAGAAAAGGATGCCATTGAAAGGAGTGATTACTGGGGTAGCGGTAAATGTAACAGTTGACCAACGGAAGGGGAAGAGTCCCGGTGTTTGTGATGCTCGTCGTTTGGTGCGACGCAGAGAGTGTGGCGTGAGTGGTGACACAGAAGAGTCGTTGTCTGTTCTTTTGAGTTTTGCTGTTGAGTCTTTGTCTGACAAAGTGATGTTAGGATATATAAGTTATCCTGTACAAGCTTTTGTGCCGAATACATTACGTTGTTACAGGTGTCAAGCTTATGGGCATGTGGCAGCAGTGTGTAGGAGGGAGGTTCCTAGGTGTGAGAAGTCTGCAGAAGGGCATGAGACAAAGGAATGTGTAGCATTGGGGAAAGTAGAGGTATGTGTTAATTGTAGGGGTGCCCATGGGGCTGGGGATCAGAAATGTCCCGTGCGAGAGAGGCAGGTTGAATTTTCCAGGGTTAGAGTAGTGCGGAAGTTGTCATATGCTGAGGCAGTGAAGAAAGTAGAGGAAGAAAAATGTATGCACTCACTAACTGTAAGTCGCTCTGGATAAGAGCATCTGCTAAATGACTAAAATGTAAAATGTAAATGAAGATGGGTCAAGGGGGAGGGATCCTGAGAAGAGTGGTGTGAGTAGTAGATCTGTACCAGTACAGAGGGATAAACCAACAAGTGATATGTTTCAGTAAGATAGTATTTTTAGCATTTAGAGCAAAAAAAATTTACATTTTACATTTTAGTCATTTAGCAGACACTCTTATCCAGAGCGACTTACAGTTAGTGAGTGCATACATTTTTTTCTTCATACTGCAATGGTTATCAACTGTACTGCAGGGATGGACCGTATGTCGCAGAGAATTTAGGTTATGGTGGCAGCTGCAGAGAGGTATTTGGGTGTGCAAGACTTGACCTCAGAAGAGTTACAGGGTGTGTTAAGGGGTGGTGTCCCATCCTTTCAGGCTGTTGGCCTGAAGTAGGACTAAATAGATTTAAATAGTGGAGTAGGGTGGTGTTATTTGTGTATATATTTTTATATATATTTGGGCAAAGTATGTATATTTTGTGAGTGTAGTGTTAGATGGTAGGGTATTTGTTTATTTTTATTATTACTTTTTTTAAGCAAAGTACAGGGAGTTATACTCCAGTCTAGTAGGTGGCGGTAATGCAACATTTATTGGATGCCAACCGCCGTTAAACCTCATCGAAGAAGATGTATAATTGCGCTTTATCCTCCACACTTGAAGTCTCCAGCGGTTGCTAGCGTGAAACTGACAAAGTACATTCTAAGCTATATATTAGTATTCTTAGTATTCTTATTTTTCGCACTTTCTCTGTAAAGAAAACAAGCCTTGTCAACATGCACGTGATAAAGCGAGGTAGGTCCTTTCTAGTAGGAATAATAGCAAAAGCTAGCTACGTTTGTCATTTGACTGTGACTCTTGTCTTTTTATTTATTTTTACAAGCAAACTTTTGAACATTTATATCGTTGGCTACTGTCATTAACCACGTTGGATGACTTTGCCTAGTTAGGTAGCTAATGTGATTGAATGCGTTAGCTAGCTAGATCAAGTCCTCTGTCGTGTAGTATAATAAGAACGATCAAGACAGGTTATTGACAGTCTCGCAGCAGATGTCCCTTTGTCAAATTTGGCGCCAAATTTGTTAACGTTTTGTAGTTAAGCTAGCCAGCTAAGTACTTCTACCTAGGTCATTTGATTGGAAGTATCAGTGACTATACCATCAATTAATCAATCGTATAGCTAGTTAACGTTTTCAAGTATTTCAATGTTGATACTTTTCCCCCCCAAAACCTCTTTCTGGGTTACACAACAGGAAGTTGGCTAGCTAACTAGTCACATAACTACATTAAATTTGTTTTTAAGCTTTGGGAAAGTTACTGACATTAACTTGTAAATTCATTTTCCATGGCACACACACACTTTATTGAAGTGATTTTCTGAATAACATTTCCATCTTTACATAATTTTCAGATGGGCGCGAAGAGCGTGTCATGTTTGACAAGATCACTTCACGCATCCAGAAGCTGTGCTATGGACTCAACTCTGACTTTGTAGATCCAGTGAGTCGATATTTTATGTTCAATGTATTTCCATTGTTTGTTAATTCTAGTGTTGCTGTGTTTCTCTAACCCACCCTTCACCCTGCCTGTTGTCCCACCTTTAGACCCAGATCACCATGAAGGTCATCCAGGGTCTATACAGTGGGGTTACTACAGTGGAGCTGGACACGTTGGCAGCAGAAATAGCTGCCACCCTCACAACGAAACACCCCGACTATGCCATCCTGGCTGCCCGCATCGCCGTCTCCAACCTGCACAAGGAGACCAAGAAGGTGTTCAGCGGTAAGTCTCTCTTGCAAATTGTAATTATTCTGACCTTTATTCAAAAGGTATGCATATTGCGCCATTATCAGGCTCACTCAAATTAGCCAAGTTTCAGCCATTCCACACATTCAGTGGCACAGATGTCAAATTTGACAATCGCACTTCTAGTAACTGAAGAAATCGGTACCTAAAAGTAATTTCTAAGCCCTGGGTGTGTGAAACTAGTGTATCTGGAAATCTCTTCATGTTTTATTTTATTTTTACCATTTTATTTTCTTCTGTCAATGCTGTTTTAGATGTGGTGGAGGATCTCTACAACTATGTCAACCCACTAAACAGACGTCACTCCCCCATGGTCGCCAAGGAGACACTTGACATTGTCCTAGAAAACAAGGATCGCCTCAACTCTGCCATCATCTTTGACCGGGACTTCTCCTACAACTTCTTTGGATTCAAGGTAATTTTTACAGTACATGGTTTATGAACCATAACAATTTAAATGTAAATTCTGCAATTGTAGGAAAGTAAACAAATATGTGTATTTTTCTACATAGACACTTGAGCGGTCCTACCTTCTGAAGATTAATGGGAAAGGTGAGTCGGCTCAAATTACCTCCCTGTAAGAATTAACATCTTGTCATGATACGAACATATACTACACTGGATTAGGGCTCATCACCAGTGGCACCTGGCCAAACAGGCACATTTTCAGAGCTGTTTTTATTTATTTTTAATGTGGAAATATCTGGTTCAGATGAGCTCCATCCCTTATGCTGACCTGTTCTCTTCCTGTGTAGTTGCGGAGCGACCCCAGCACATGCTCATGAGGGTGGCAGTTGGGATTCATAAGACTGACATTGACGCTGCCATCGAGACTTACAACCTGCTGTCAGAGAAGTGGTTCACCCACGCTTCCCCCACACTCTTCAACGCTGGCACCAATCGCCCACAGCTGTCCAGGTAAGCGCTTAATATTTTGCATCTACTTTTGCCATTCTACTATAAGCCATTCCCATTCCTCAGCTCTGATTACTGAATTGCACTGACATCTTTGACAGTTCTAGGTGCAAACCAGAAAAAAAAGCTTGATCTGTTTTAAATGAGTTGTCCTTGTTGACTTTTCAGCTGTTTCCTGTTGGCCATGAAGGATGACAGCATTGAGGGCATCTATGACACCCTAAAGCAGTGTGCCCTAATTTCTAAATCAGCAGGGGGCATCGGCGTGGCAGTCAGCTGCATCAGAGCCACGGGCAGCTACATTGCTGGGGTGAGGATTACATGATCACGTTTATAAATAAGACTTCCCCTTGAGGCGTTGCTGTCCGACTAAGTGTCGTGATGGGGCTATGTCTACGCCGAGGACCCAGAACAGTGGGTACTTGGAGTGATTGATGGCTGACCGATCGTGGGTAAAGTTTATAAATGAGCAAAAAATGACTTTATGCTTCATTGTGATGCTTGGCAAGTCACTCATTGACTGAAGCTTATTTTTTTCTTTTTTTTAAGACAAATGGTAATTCCAATGGGCTGGTTCCCATGCTCCGAGTGTACAACAACACAGCACGCTATGTGGACCAGGGAGGCAACAAGGTGAGAATGAAATGAGGTTTGAATACAGGTTTTGTTATTGACTCTGGCCACAGGATGACCTCGTAGATATGCATTAGCGCTCTGCGCAGAGATGACCCACTATCTATCACCCAAGTCTGATGGCTCTGAGAACATGCATACGGTCTTTCAGACTCTGTGGCCTGTGTTCACTGTGCCGTCATCAGGCATTTAACTCTTGCTTATCACCCTCCTTCTCAGAGACCTGGTGCATTTGCCATGTACCTGGAGCCGTGGCACTTTGATGTGTTTGACTTCTTGGATCTAAAGAAGAACACTGGGAAGGAGGAGCAGAGGGCCAGAGATCTGTTCTACGCCATGTGGATCCCTGACCTCTTCATGAAGAGAGTGGAGAGCAACCAAGTATGCAGCAACATTTATCAACTGAAGTATTCAAACCAGTTGTGGTCAGTGCCGTTTTAAGATGAGGGAGGACAATTTTCTTTTCATGAGCATGGCCTTATTTCTATTACAGCATATTGGATGACTGTCATTCATATTCCATTCAGTCAGTTCAATGTAACAGCGATAGGTTTAGGCTACTACATGATACTCAAATTTTCTCTATACCCATCATGAGGTTGCTACAACCAATTAAAGTTTACAACGTAGGTGCACACAGGTCGAGAGACAAATTTGAGGTGACAGACTGACACATGGACAGACAGTGACATTCAATAATGCCTTGCACACTCTTGCCTGCATCTAGCTGATATAGGATGTAATCATTAGTCCAACTGTTGCAAGCAAGTTTCTATTGGACAAATTTAAGTTTTGTTCCGCTTGCTTCTGTTTTTAAGAAAAGTTTTCAACAGAATCGGCGGAATGAATCCACCGCTGATCACGCGTAAACACATAGCCACATTGTATTCCTTCTCGCATCCATGTGCTCTCCTACTCTCACCTCTTCCTTTTGCTTGTGGACTTCAATGCACAACACATCAGCTGTGTGTGACCAGGCGAAAAAACCTTTCCAAGCCAAACCGCTACACACAGCCTACATCGTTGTCACCATATTAGCTAAAGTAACATCATAGTCAGCATAGTTAATAGAACTAACGCGTTAGTAAACCCACTACAATCATGCAGTATAGTTAGTGTACAGTCAGTAAGCAGTTACACCGGCGGGCCCGGTGGCAATAAATTAGTAAAACCAAAAGCTTACCTTGACTTAATAATAATAATATGCCATTTAGCAGATGCTTTTATCCAAAGCGACTTAGTCATGTGTGCATACATATTTACGTATGGAAGAGTTCCAGTGTTGTGTTGGATAGTCATAGCCAGCCAGCTAACATAGCATCCCTCTGTTTGGGCAGGGTGTTTCAGTAGGCTAACCTAGCTAGCTGTATTTGCTAGCTAAGTTAATGAAACTGAAATGGACAAAAAAGGACACTCTCGCTATACATTTCTCTCTTGCTTCTCCAAAACTGTTCAACTACGGTCTTTCTATCTCTTTGAGTCAACTATTCACCACATGCACTGCAGTCCTAGCTAGCTGTAGCTTATGCTTTCAGTACTAGATTAATTATCTGATCCTTTGATTGGACAACATGTCAGTTCATGCTGTAAGAGCTCTGATAGGTTGGAGGGCATCCTCCGGAAGTTGTCATAATTGCTGTGTAAGTCAATGGAAGGGGGTGAGAACCATGAGCCTCCTAGGTTTTGTATTGAAGTCAATGTACCTAGAGGAGGACGGAAGCTAGCTGTCCTCTGGCTACACCATGGTGCTACCCTACAGAGTGCTGTTGAGGCTAGTGTCGACCGCTTTGCAAAATAGTGTGTTTTAATCAATTACTTGGTGACATGTATAACTTTTTTTTATGTTTTACAATTTTTATGAAATTCACTGAAGATGGTCCTCCCCTTCCTCCTCTGAGGAGCCTCCACTGATTCAAACCAGATGGAATTTTGTGAAATTCAAGCACAAGTATATTTTGTACAATTTGTGCTCCTCAAGGTTGAATTAAAGAAGGGAATATGGAGTGGTTCTGTTTGGATGAATATCAGTACTCATGGCGTATTGTACCCACAGGACTGGTCCCTGATGTGCCCCAGTGACTGCCCTGGACTGGATGAGTGCTGGGGGGAGGAGTTTGAGAAGCTCTATACCAGGTAAGACCGGCACTCCTGACCTGGTATAACACTGCTCCATACCAGTCTCGACACCCTGTGCAGTGTCTCACTGGACCTGTCTCTGTCTATCGTCAGGTATGAGCAGGAGGGTCGGGTCAAGCGGGTGGTGAAGGCCCAGCAGGTGTGGCACGCCATCATCGAGTCCCAGACTGAGACGGGCACCCCCTATATGCTTTACAAGGACGCCTGCAACAGGAAGAGCAATCAGCAGAACCTGGGCACCATTAAGTCCAGTAACCTCTGTACAGAGATTGTAGAGTACACCAGCCATGATGAGGTGAGGGCAACAGATTACCTAAACGGTTTGAACTACTGAAGCTGTCTGAAATGGCACCCTATTCCATATTTGGTGCACTACTTTTGACCAAAGTCCAAACCTGTTTCCTGTATAGGGGCCCTGGTCGAAAGTAGTGCACTATACAGGGATTAGGTTGACATTTTGGACGCAACCTGAGCCTCAGTTTGTTATTGACTCTGGCCACAGGATGACCTCATAGATATGCATTAGCGCCCTACGCATGGATGACCAACTACAGTATCTATCACCCAAGGATAATGGGTCTGATAACATGCATACTTAATCACAAAGCTGTTTGAATGGCATCCTTTGATTTGTATATTGTTTAAAATAAATGTTGGATCACACAAAAAAAAAGTTTAAATGGCCAAACGTGTGATGCTAATCTATCTGGCTCCTGTTTCCCAATCTCAGGTGGCAGTGTGTAACCTGGCGTCCATCGCCCTCAACATGTATGTCACCTCAGAGAGAACATTTGACTTCAGCAAGCTGGCCTACGTCACCAAGGTCATCGTCAGGAACCTCAACAAGATCATTGAGATCAACTACTACCCTGTGGTCGAGGTAAGGTCTAGAGTTCAGCTTATCGATACTAATAATGATATGATCAGCAAGACTGATGATTCTACAGGTTATATCTTCATGTGGACCAGTAACTGATTCCCCATACCTCTCCTTCTCTCTAACCAGGCTGAGAACTCCAACAAGCGCCACAGGCCCATTGGTATCGGTGTGCAGGGTCTTGCTGACGCTTTCATCCTGATGCGTTTCCCCTTTGAGAGCGCTGAGGCCCAGAAGCTCAACACTCAGATCTTTGAGACCATCTACTACGCTGCCCTGGAGTCCAGCTGTGAGCTGGCTGCTGAGCTCGGTGCCTACCAGACCTACCCAGGCTCCCCTGTCAGCAAAGGAGTGAGTACCACCACCCTTACACCTAACTGAGATGTTAGATATCTTGTGCAGGGTTTTTGTTTTGGGTAACTAACTTGTCAATGGTTAATTTCAGAATTGTGTATTAAGGAGAATGTTCTGGTGTGGGTCTCAGGCTTAAACTGTTATAATTTCCCCCCCCCAGATCCTTCAGTACGACATGTGGGACAAAACCCCAACTGACCTGTGGGACTGGAAACTTCTCAAGGAAAAGATTGCTAAGTAAGTTCTCAACCTTGTCTTCCATTTTACCAACACAACTACAGCTAGTCTCAACACATAAACCAAGTGGACTTAAATGTTGACGCCTTTCTGTTTCATCACCACTTCACTCACCCCTCTGCCCCCTCTCTCCAGGCACGGTGTGAGGAACAGTCTGCTGCTGGCCCCCATGCCCACGGCCTCTACAGCCCAGATCCTGGGCAACAACGAGTCCATCGAGCCCTACACCAGCAATATCTACACCCGCAGAGTCCTCTCTGGAGAGTTCCAGGTCAGTACCACTCTCTGTGGGTTCCACAGACACTGACATCTGCTGACACACATACACATCATATCAAACACTTGAAGGCTCTGATTATGGGGGTGTAAAAAGTTGTGTGTATGTGAGCACTAATGTTCTTTGTGCTCCCTGTAGATTGTGAACCCCCATCTGTTGAAGGACCTAACAGAGAGAGGGCTGTGGAACGAGGAGATGAAGAACCAGCTGATTGGTCAGAATGGATCCATCCAGGTGAGAACCCAGACCCATCACAGCTCTAATCAATAAAGAGCAATCAGAAGAGTGCAATTATGCCCTATTTTGTGAAGGTCATGTCTAACTTTTGTTCGATTTTAAAAGTGTTATCCTTTTTAGTAGTTGTCATTGTTCTAACTATTTTTACTTGTCTTTAGGGCATTGCTGAGATCCCAGATGACCTGAAGGAGCTGTATAAGACTGTGTGGGAGATCTCCCAGAAGACTATTCTGAAGATGGCTGCTGACCGCGGGGCCTTCATAGACCAGAGCCAGTCCCTCAACATCCACATTGCTGAGCCCAACTACGGCAAGCTCACCAGCATGCACTTCTACGGCTGGAAGCAGGTGAGTTGGCTTGCCTATTGAAGTTTATAAAACATTGCATTTTCTTAGCCCAGGGCCATCCTTAACCCTGGGTTAAAATGGCTGGCTGATGCTGCCCCTTGAGGCGTTGCAGTCCGACTGCAAGTGTCGAGCCCGTGTCATGAGGGGCGGAGAGTGACAGGGCTATGTCTATGCCGAGGACCCAGAACAGTGGGAACTTGGCGTGATTGATGGCTCTGACAAAATAAATACACTTTCTAAAAAGCTGGCTAGGGAGACAACTTATGAGGATCAATGTAGTGCTAAATATAAATCAAGATAAACCACTAACCTCTTCTCTGCTCCTCAGGGTCTGAAGACGGGCATGTACTACCTGAGGACCAAGCCTGCAGCCAACCCCATCCAGTTCACCCTGAACAAGGAGAAGCTGAAGGAGTCCCAGTCGGCTAAGAACGAGGAGGAGATCAACAGAGCCGCTATGGTGTGTTCCCTGGAGAACCGTGACGACTGCCTGATGTGTGGCTCTTAGACCGGCCCCTTACTTCCCCTACCCCCGCTCTGTAGTTAATTAACCATAGCAGTGGATCACTGAAGTCCTCAGGATCATTGAACCCCATTCTCATTGCCTTTAGGTCAGGAAACATCATACAGTAATCTGCCTTGCTGTCAGATCAAAGGCTCTTAATAGAACAGGCTCTTATGTTTGTGTTGTGGGCATGCTACTGTAGTCTAACTAGTGCTGTACATTGTGCACTAATACCAGATTATTAACTGTAAGCAGTTTTCTATTTATCGCTCTAGGGTGCACTGTCTGTGCTGTTTTGTCTGCTTGTTTTGTATAGGATTCAGTGTTTCTTTTCCAACTTTTTGTTAACTCCATTGTTAATATGTAAATCTAAGGATCTCATAACTTGCTGAATGAATGTCAAACAAACTTCAATAGTGTATTTTATATTTTACACCTGTGGGGAAAATAAAATTGCTTTGTACACTAAACACAATTATAAACGCAACATGCAACAATTTCAAAGAGTTACAGTTTATATAATGAAATCAGTCAATTTAAATGACTTCATTAGGCCCTAATCTATGGAATTCACATAACTGGTAATACAGATATGCATCTGTTGGTCACAGATACTGTACCTTGATTCCAAACATGCTCAATGGGTGACATGTCTGGTGAGTGCAGGCCATGGAATAACTGGGACATTTTCAGCTTCCAGGAATTGTGTACAGATCCTTGCGACATGGGGCCGTGCATTATCATGCTGAAACGTGAGGTGATTGAGGCGGATTAATGGCAAGACAATGGGCCTCAGGATCTCGTGACGGTATCTCTGCATTCAAATTGACAGTGTTCGTTGTCTGTAATTTATGCCTGCCCATACCATAACCCTGCCGCCACCATGGGGCACTCTGTTCACAACGTTGACCTCAGCAAACCACTCGCCCACAGGGTGCCATACACGCTGTCTGCTATTTGCCCGGTACAGTTAAACCAGGATTGCGGTAGAGAAATTAACATTCAATTATCTGACAACAGCTCTGGTAGACATTCCTGCAGTCAGCATCCCAATTGCACTCTCCCTCAACTTGAGACATCTGTGGCATTGTGTTGCACATTTAAGTTGCCTTTTATTGTCCCCAGCACAAGGTGCACCTGTGTAATGATTCATGCTGTTTAATCAGCTTGATATGCCACACCTGTCAGGTGGATGGATTATCTTGGCAAAGGAGAAATGCTCACTAATGGGGATGTAAACAAATTTGTGCACAACATTTGAGAGAAGCTTTTTGTGCGAATGGAAAATGTCAGGGAAATGTCAGATTTACGTAAATAATACAAAATGCTCTGAGTCCAGGTTGTTTTGCCTGAAGTAACCATCTGTTTTATGTAAACCTATCAAACTAAACATACACTGCTCAAAAAAATAAAGGGAACACTAAAATAACACATCCTAGATCTGAATGAATGAAATAATCTTATTAATTACTTTTTTCTTTACATAGTTGAATGTGCTGACAACAAAATCACACAAAAATTATCAATGGAAATCAAATGTATCAACCCATGGAGGTCTGGATTTGGAGTCGCCCTCAAAATTAAAGTGGAAAACCACACTACAGGCTGATCCAACTTTGATGTAATGTCCTTAAAACAAGTCAAAATGAGGCTCAGTAGTGTGTGTGGCCTCCACGTGCCTGTATGACCTCCCTACAACGCCTGGGCATGCTCCTGATGAGGTGGCGGATGGTCTCCTGAGGGATCTCCTCCCAGAACTGGACTAAAGCATCCGCCAACTCCTGGACAGTCTGTGGTGCAACGTGGCGTTGGTGGATGGAGCGAGACATGATGTCCCAGATGTGCTCAATTGGATTCAGGTCTGGGGAACGGGCGGGCCAGTCCATAGCATCAATGCCTTCCTCTTGTAGGAACTGCTGACACACTCCAGCCACATGAGGTCTAGCATTGTCTTGCATTAGGAGGAACCCAGGGCCAACCGCACCAGCATATGGTCTCACAAGGGGTCTGAGGATCTCATCTCAGTACCTAATGGCAGTCAGGCTACCTCTGGCGAGCACATGGAGGGCTGTGCGGCCCCCCAAAGAAATGCCACCCCACACCGGTCATGCTGGAGGATGTTGCAGGCAGCAGAACGTTCTCCACGGCGTCTCCAGACTCTGTCACGTCTGTCACATGTGCTCAGTGTGAACCTGCTTTCATCTGTGAAGAGCACAGGGCGCCAGTGGCGAATTTGCCAATCTTGGTGTTCTCTGGCAAATGCCAAACGTCCTGCACGGTGTTGGGCTGTAAGCACAACCCCCACCTGTGGACGTCGGGCCCTCATACCACCCTCATGGAGTCTGTTTCTGACCGTTTGAGCAGACACATGCACATTTGTGGCCTGCTGGAGGTCATTTTGCAGGGCTCTGGCAGTGCTCCTCCTGCTCCTCCTTGCACAAAGGCGGAAGTAGCAGTCCTGCTGCTGGGTTGTTGCCCTCCTACGGCCTCCTCCACGTCTCCTGATGTACTGGCCTGTCTCCTGGTAGCGCCTCCATGCTCTGGACACTACGCTGATAGACACAGCAAACCTTCTTGCCACAGCTCGCATTGATGTGCCATCCTGGATGAGCTGCACTACCTGAGCCACTTGTGTGGGTTGTAGACTCCGTCTCATGCTACCACTAGAGTGAAAGCACCGCCAGCATTCAAAAGTGACCAAAACATCAGCCAGGAAGCATAGGAACTGAGAAGTGGTCTGTGGTCACCACCTGCAAAACCAGTCCTTTATTGGGGGTGTCTTGCTAATTGCCTATAATTTCCACCTGTTGTCTATTCCATTTGCACAACAGCATGTGAAATGTATTGTCAATCAGTGTTGCTTCCTAAGTGGACAGTTTGATTTCACATAAGTGTGATTGACTTGGAGTTACATTGTGTTGTTTAAGTGTTCCCTTTATTTTTCTGAGCAGTGTATCATACTAAATGTAGTACCTCGGATTTATATACAAAATAATACGAAATGCCCTGAGACCAGGTTGACCAACAGGGAAGAGACTTTCAGAGCAGTATAGCCAGTTTTCCTCAAATAATTTACTTTATATAATGAACACAAGGACATTGTATATATTTTTGGTGTTTTGATATTCGTTTTAAAAGGTGTGTTTAAAGTGAAATTGTAATTCACTTTAAAGGTCATTCTCTATCCTTTCTAATTGTTAGGTTGGAATGTCTATAATTACAATGAATAAGAGTTCGTACTGGTCTCAAACAGGTGGTCCAACGCGGCACACATCGGTCTCACTAGGTGTTCACAGATCATGTTTCATTTGGCTACATCACGTAACAATATTGTACAGTCATGGTCAAAAGTTTTGAGAATGACACAAATACTAATTTTCACAAAGTCTGCTGCCTCAGTTTTGATTATGTCAATTTACATATACTCCAGAATGTCATGAAGAGTGATCAGATGAATTGCAATTAATTGCAAAGTCCCTCTTTGCCATGAAAATGAACTTAATCCCCAAAAAACATTTCCACTGCATTTCAGCCCTGCCACAAAAGGACCAGCTGACATCATGTCAGTGATTCTCTCGTTAACACAGGTGAGAGTGTTAATGAGGACAAAGCTGGAGATCACTCTGTCATGCTGATTGAGTTAGAATAACAGACTGGATGCTTTAAAAGGAGGGTGGTGCTTGAAATCATTGTTCTTCCTCTGTTAACCATGGTTACCTGCAAGGAAACACGTGCCGTCATCATTGCTTTGCACAAAAAGGGCTTCACAGGCAAGGATATTGCTGCTAGTAAGATTGCACCTAAATCAACAATTTATCGGATCATCAAGAACTTCAAGGAGAGAGGTTCAGTTGTTGTGAAGAAGGCGTCAGGGCGCCCAAGAAAGTCCAGCAAGCGCCAAAACCCTCTCCTAAAGTTGATTCAGCTGCGGGATCAGGGCACCACCAGTGCAGAGCTTGCTCAGGAATGGCAGCAGGCAGGTGTGAGTGCATCTGCACGCACAGTAAGGCAATTACTTTTGGAGGATGGCCTGGTGTCATGAAGGGCAGCAAAGAAGCCACTTCTCTCCAAGAAAAACATCAGGGACGGACTGATATTCTGCAAAAGGTACAGGGATTGGACTGCTGAGGACTGGGGTAAAGTCATTTTCTCTGATGAATTCCCTTTCCGATTGTTTGGGGCATCCGGAAAACACCTTGTCCGGAGAAGACAAGGTGAGCGCTATCATCAGTCCTGTGTCATGCCAACAATAAAGCATCCTGAGACCATTCATGTGTGGGGTTGCTTCTCAGCCAAGGGAGTGGGCTCACTCACATTTTTGCATAAGAACACAGCCATGAATAAAGAATGGTACCAACACATCCTCCGAGAGCAACTACTCCCAACCATCCAAGAACAGTTTGGTGACGACCAATGCTTTTTCCAGCATTATGGAGCACCTTGCCATAAGGCAAAAGTGATAACTAAGTGGCTCAGGGAACAAAACATCGAAATTTTGGGTCCATGGCCAGGAAACTCCCCAGACCTTAATCCCATTGAGAACTTGTGGCCGATTCTCAAGAGGCGGGTGGACAAACAAAAACCCACAAATTCTGACAAACTCCAAGCCTTGATAATGCAAGAATGGGCTGCCATCAGTCAGGATGTGGCCCAGAAGTTAATTGACAGCATGCCAGGGTGGATTGCAGAGGTCTTGAAAAAGAAGGGTCAACACTGCAAATATTGACTCTTTGCATAAACTTAATATAATTGTCAATAAAAGCCTTTGACACTTATGGAATGCTTGTAATTATACTTCAGTATACCATAGTAACATCTGACAAAAATATCTCATAACACTGAAGCAGCAAACTTTGTGAAGACCAATACTTGTGTCATTCTCAAAACTTTTGACCATGACTGTATACAGGGTTGTGGAGTAACTGATGACATACTCTGATTACAAAAAGACTAATCAGAGTACCAGCAACAATACTGTAATCAGATTAGATACTTTTTTTAAAACTAGATGATTACTAAATTCAGAAAGGATGTTTGTGAATAAATACATTGACAACTTTCTGTTTTCTCAATGACATTCAATTCAGCATTGAAAAAAAGATGCAAGTTTAAGTTTGTTCCACCTCAGCGAGTCTGACCACAAGTAAGAGACCACTATGATGAAACACCAAATGCATTTGATAGATACTTTTTGTCTTCTTCTAATGCCTCTTAAGGGAAAAGTAATCATATTAAAAAAATTACATTACTGATTAAGACTTTGGACAGGTTACTAGTAATTGTAACAGATTACATTTAGAAAGTAAGCTACCCAACCCTGAGTGTATATACATGCCTTTGAAAGATTTGTAGCTCCTTTTACAGCAAAATAGTCCTGTGCTACCTACTACAAGTGTATATTGCTGCTTTGATGTAAACATCTCATGTAGTCAACCAATTAAGTGACTATGGAGTTGACTGAAACAATGCTAACTGGCTGACACTTCTAATCTGAAGATGATGCACTCAGACGTGCGGGTCTCATTGGTCCTCCATCGATGGACCCCTCCCCTTCCTGTGAGCCGAAGCCAGCGTCCTGCTGCTGCCACTGGTCGTGAAGGAACCACCTTCTCCCCCAGGATCTTCACCCCTGGCAGTATTCGCCACCACGCTAGCCTACTCCTGAGTGGCGCAGTGGTCTAAGGCACTGCATCGCAGTGCTAACTGTGCCACTAGAGATCCTGGTTCGAATCCAGGCTCTGTCGCAGCCGGCCGCGACCGGGAGACTCATGGGCGGCGCACAATTGGCCCAGGGTAGGGGAGGGAATGGCCGGCAGGGATATAGCTCAGTTGATAGAGCATGGCGTTTGCAACGCCAGGGTTGTGGGTTCGATTCCCACGGGGGGCCAGTATAAAAAAATACAAAAAATGTATTCACTAACTGTAAGTCGCTCTGGATAAGAGCGTCTGCTAAATGACTAAAATGTAATGTAAATGTAGCCGTGGCAGCCTTCTTCTTAGTCACATTCTCCTCTGTCACATTCTCCTCCACTGCCCTCCCCGGGCCCTTAGTCCACCTCTCTGCCACGTTGATTTTCTCCCTCAGTTCCATCACCTTGACCTTCCCTTTTCACTTCTCCCAGTCCCATATCTACTTTCCCGTCATTCCCACGTCCTCCCATCTCATTCCATTTTTTGGTCACCTCTTACAACTCCTTTCCCCAGATTGTATTATCCACACTGCTATCTACCTTTTCCCTTTGTCTTTACCTTCTTCCATCCTTGCTTCTGCCTCCACCGGATTGCCCTCTCCCTCCACCTTCTTCTCCACCATCTCATTGGTGCTTACCTTTTTTATCCAAATCTCCCCCTTCCCCTCACTGTCTCCTCTCCTTTCCGTCTTTTGCTCTGATTCCTTTACCATCTCCTCCACCCTTCCATCTCCCTTCCCTCCATCAGCTCTCCCCTCCATCTTCACAACATCCATGTCTCCTACCTGCTTCGTCCCCTCTGCTCCATCTGGCCCCACCTCCACCTCCTGTTTGACCACTATCCCCCCTTCCTTTCCTATCTCCACCTTTCTGTCGTGTTCCATCTCCACAGTAAAGGTGTGTGTTTGTGGTCCAGCTTGTTGTTGAAGCCTCTGAAGTTGTTCTTGGCTCCCATTATGTATTTCCCCAGGATGGAGGAGCCATCAGTGTTGGGGTTGTATTCTGCAGCCTGGCCAGAACCTGCATGATGGTCTTCATCACAGTGTGCAGCCTGCCCACCACCTTGTTTAGCTGTGATCCAATTAACCACTTCTGAGGTAAGAATAGACCAAACCAAGGACACTGAATGCACCACAATGCGATTTACATACATACAGTCCTAAACAGAGTGCGTGTGTGGGGCCAAGTCAGTACTTCCTCTCTGTTTAACTGTGACCTTAACACAGAAACATGTCTTAACTGAAGACTTGAAGGCCCTAAGGCTGGGTCAGGAAACTTGATAGGTTAATATTTATCTTGGTCTCCTCAAACTCGCAATGTGCAGAATCAATGTAGCGCTGCACCAAAGCCTGGATCACCTGCTGGCGGTAAGGTATCTGGTTCTCCCCTGACCCGCCACCGTCTCCTTCCCATTGGACGACAACAAAGGGAACAGAGACAATCTCATTGGTCTGCATTCTGTATGACAAGACAATGTCAAATGAGCCGAGGTGGAGTTCTTACCATGGTGGTTATGGGAGGGATAGTCTGTTGAGTTTAAAGTACAACAGCAGCAGATCCAATGGAAAATACCCCTGGGATAAACATGAAAACATGAAATATGAGATGAAACTGACCTTTGAGATAGAGGTTGTTCTATTGTTGGTAGAGGAAGTTGGCTGTACAACACACACAATATAACCTACCGTATGAGGTAGAAGAAGGCCTTGGGGGAGGGGATGTTGAAGGGGACAGGCATGGTGAAACCTTCTCTGAAGTAACTCAGAGAGCTTAGATTGGGCAAATTTCCACTCAATGTCAGCAACATCCTGAGGGGGGACAGGTAAATCAGGTCCCATCCTATAATATCTCCTAAACTTGACTGTGTAATCAAAAAGAGTTTGAGCTTTGAAACACTTATCTGCTACAGTGGGATGCAGTTTCTTCCATTCAAAGGCATTGTCCTGCCCTTGAGGTGGACAAACTAAGAGCCAAGTTTCCTGAGTTTAATCTGATCTCACCTCAATCTTCTGGAAGGAGTTGCTGGTCATGGCAATGAGCATGTTGTGCAGCACAATCACGATGACAAGGGTGAAGATGCCGTAAAGGATCCTGCCACCACAAACTCGGGCATGTCCATATAGTTCTGGTTGGCCACCCCAAACATGGTCCAGAACAGGAAACGAAAAGTCTCATTAAACCTAAGGAATGGAGTTAGGGTTGGGAGGATTATGATTATCATGAGTGATCTAACAAGATAATTATGAAGCTAGGTAGTAGTGTACTTCAACATTTTCTTTACCTTCCAAGATATGGTTGGGTGACATAAGGAACATAGATTGTATTGATACCACAGAGGAAAGCTGTTCCAATTATCATCAATACGAACATGAACCTAGGTAGAGAGAAGAGACTTGTTTCTATAAACCAACCCACTAACCCACCGACCACCCACACCATGTGGAATGAGCTGTGCAGAATATTCTGTTGACGCAAAGCAAACTGGTCTCTGTACTCCATGGTGATGGACTCTCCCAACAACGTGATGAGGAACCACATATAGGAGGCCGAGTGAAGAAGAAACGTAATCACCGGAATCTTCAGTATCTTTCCCACCTGAGACATACAGTAGAGTATATCACAGGAGGTTGGTGGCACCTTAGTTGGGAGGACAGGCTCATGGTAATGGCTGGAGCGGAATTGGTGGAATGCTATCAAATACATCAAACACATGGTTTCCATGTGTTTGATGCCATTCCATTAACGTCGTTCCAGCCATTATAATGAGCCGTCCTCCCCTCAACAATCTCCACTGGTGTATATACATAGCCAAGAGCAAATACATGAGAAAACTGAGCCATACATCTGCAGGCCCAAGACAGACTCACGCAGAGTCACACAAGGCCCATTCAACATCACCACCTTTACAGAACTTTAGGTCATCTGACCTTGGACTTAGACGCGATCCAGTAAACGAGGCAGAGGGGGGGCATGGTGAAGAAGATCCGCTTCCAGGTCATCCTGCTGCCCCTCCAGCCAGACAGGTTCCCACACCACATAGAGGACAGCACCTGGTGGCAGATAGGGTGGACCACAAACTAGAGAGAGAGAAAGAGTGGCCACAATTCACAAACAGGACATATAGAGAGGGATGCACCATCTCACTGAACATGTTAATTATACTGTAAATCAATGACAGCAGCACCCCAAATAACACCACTCAGAATCTAGGCCTATGTACAGTTTTTTATAAACTGGGTGGTTCCAGCCCTGAATGCTGATTGACAGCCGTGGTATATCAGAGCATATACCACATGTATGACAAAACATTTATTTTTACTGGTCTAATTATGTTGGTAACCAGTTTATAATAGCAATAAGGCACCTTGGGGGTTTGTGATATATGGCCAATATTATGTTGTGGAAAATAACCACTCTACTTTATTACAAATAAGGTCTTACAGAGTTTTTGTTGCATCAGTCTGCAGAATGGCCCACCCCCGTACGCGATCCCTCCATTTTATATAGTCCCCTCTTCAGTTTTCCCGCTCTTTTATTGCTCCGCCCACTTCCTTTGTCTCGCACACACACTCACTCATGTTTAGTTTAACCATGACAAGGCCCTAAATCCTTGAAACATACACAAACCCCCCACACACAGTGAAATGATCCAATTCAATTCCTGGCCCAGTAACAAAGAAATCTAACTTTATACTCTTGATTAACCCAGTTCTACCTCATAGTCCATTAAACTCTACAGTTCATTAATAATAATTCACCACAATACCACGGCTAAGGGCTGTATCCAGGCACTCCGCGTTGCGTCGTGCATAAGAACAGCCCTTAGCAGTGGGATATTGGCCATATACCACACCCCCTCGTGCATTATTGCTTAAATATACCCTGGATGGTCTACTAGCTCTGTAGCTGCTTGTGGATCTACCTGTGTATGCTTGTAGATGACTGTGGCTCTCCCTGTTTCTGGTTATAGATGACTGTGGCTCTCCCTGTTTCTGGTTATAGATGACTGTGGCGCTACCTGTTTCTGGTTATAGATGACTGTGGCGCTACCTGTTTCTGGTTATTGATGACTGTGGCTCTACCTGTTTCTGGTTATAGATGACTGTGGCTCTACCTGTTTCTGGTTATAGATGACTGTGGCTCTACCTGTTTCTGGTTATAGATGACTATGGCTCTACCTGTTTCTGATTGTAGTTTAAGGCGAACCTCAGGCGGGTCATGTTGGGGATGCCCTCCTCAAACACCTGCTGGTCAAGGGCGTCCTGGTTTTCGTCTCCACAGCTGTTCAGGATGGTGGTGACCTCACTCTGGTTACGGCACATCTCCAGCAGCTCCACCGCAAACTCCTGGCACAGCTTCTCCAGACCCAGGTTCTGAGGCTGGGGGAGAGAGAACACAAACAACCACTCAGATAAACAACCTAATAGCACTTCACATAACAGCACAGAATAAATCAAATCAAATCTAATTTTATTGGTCACATACACATATTTAGCAGATGTTATTGTGGGTGTATCAAAATCCTTGCGTTCCTAGCTCCAACAGTGCAGTAGTATCTAACAATTCACAACAATACACACAAATCTAAAAGTAAAATAATGGAATTAAGAAATATATAAATATTAGGACGAGCAATGTCGGAGTGGCATTGACTAAAATACAGTAGAATAGAATACAGTATATACATATGAGATGAGTAAAGCAGTATGTAAACATTATTAACGTGACTAGTGTTCCATTATTAAAGTGGCCAGTGAATCCATGTCAATGTATATAAGGCAGCAGGGAATAAAATGGTAATAACATGGTAATAGTATGGTAACAAGTTATAGTTACTCACAATGAAAACATTCATTGCCAGTATAGTTATATTCCTGTTCCAGGGTAATCTCGGTTTACCCAGAATTTATTTTTACGTAGTCTGTCCAAGAGAGATTAGTTCCACGGTAATACACCACATACTTTGTGTATAGTGACTAACAGGAACTAACCTTGAACTCAGGTTCCTTCTTGGAGATTTTGTGGAGCTCCCTGCCGAGGCCGAAGGCACTGAGCATGGCATCGTCTGAGGTGATGGACAGGTAGGCCATGCTGTCAATGCCACTGTAGGTGTTGATGTGAGACAGGGAGAACTTCAGCAGGTCATACTGCTGCCCGTTCCAGCACTCTAGACAGACACAGGAGATGGCGTGGCCCTTCTGGGTCAGCATGGTGACAATCTCATACAGGTCCTTCTGACAGGCCAGGGTCAGCGGGCTCATGCCGGGGGCAAACTGCGAGTCGTCAATGGAGTGGTCGAAGATGGCAAGGGAGAAGGATCGCACGTCCATCTTGTTGCCCTTCTCCTGGTCCATGCGGTCGAGGAGCCTCTTCACCACACAGGGCTGGTTGGTGTCGACGGCGACCAGCAGAGCCTCATGGATCTGGCAGAAGTCAAACTTGATGCCCTGGATGAGGGCATCCATGGTGTCCTCGTTGCCCAGGTGGATGGACAGGTTGAGGGCCTCCCTCCACAGATGGTCCTCAGTCGTCCAGCTGACGGATGATGCCGTCGCCAGTCTTCAGCAGGCCACACACCATCACTATGTTCCCCTCCTGGATAGCACTGATCAGCTCCGGAGGAAAGTGCCTCTTCTTGTTCACCATATTCTGCCATTGCTCCGGCTAAAACCACAAGGAGACACAGAGAGAGTTTATTGCTTTGATATTTCTGAATCTAAACAGCTTAAATCCAAACCATTAATTAATACAAATATTTATAATAAAACTGCAATATGACACAAATCACTATTAAATCATTTTTCTGCACTGGGTAGTCTACAGATAAACATTAAGATATTCATAAAGGGAATTTGTGAGTACCATGCAGTATCAAGGTATGACAGTAGGACAAAATAGCATTATAATCTGAGAAATGAACAGGAATAAACATTATGAAGACATAAGTAGACAAAATGTAATGTTACTGTGAGGACCATCCCTAGATGAAATTGCAAGATACTATCAAGACCATCAGTAATAATAGGTTTTTATTCACATTCATTCCTAATTGTCACACCCTGGCTCTGGGGACTCTATATGTTGAGCCAGGGTGTGTAGATTCTATGTATTCTAGTTCTGTGTTGTAGGTCTATGTGTTCTATTTCTATGTTGGCCAGTGTGGTTCTCAATCAGAGGCAACGAGTGTCAGCTGTGGCTGGTTGTCTCTGATTGGGAACCATATTTAAACAGTCTGTTTTCCATTCGTGTTTGTGGGATCTTGTTCTGTTTGGGTTGTGTTTACCGTAGGACGTCACGTTTTGTTCGTGCATTCATTATATAAATAAATATGTTCGTTCATCACGCTGCGCCTTGGTCTACTCCATATAACGATTGTGACACTAATGTAATTTTCTTTCATTCTATGCATTTTGTTTACTGCTTTTTAAATCATTTGTAGTCTCATTGTAAAGCACTTTGGGCTGCAAATAATGTATGAAAGAAGCTTTACAATTTAAGTTTATTATTGCAGTATTATAAACTAAATTGACTTAAATTCTACAACAAAATTAATGCTTTACTTCGTGACACATTTCAATCTATTGTTTCACATCTTTCTTTGCTTTGCAAAGTTTGTTTCAAATACACTAACCTTGAGGTTTTCCATTGTTTCTTCAGTGAAAGTGAGTAATTGTTGTCCCTAGTGTGAAGATAACCTCACATTATTGGTGGAAATCCAAGCACCCTGGTTATTCTTGAGACTAAGAGGAGGGTAGGAGAACGGCAGTGAGGTCCGCTGACTGCTGTCTTGGGCTCAGTGTGTCGAGAACGGCTCACTGTGGTAATGTGATCTCGGCTGACTACACAGGTTAGCTTAGTTAGAATGACTCCCCACAAACCAAATAACACATCTCTACTCCCCTGGGACAGGACTAATTACAAAGCAACTATTTCAGTGTTTCATGCCTGGCGTGGCCCAAACCAGGGAGTGGCCCTTGCCTTCCTTACCAAGCCTCTATTAACATTATCACTGGAAATGCTCCCCAGTGGAAACACTGCAGGTGAGACAGCTGTTAACAGGTAGCAGCAGTCATTAATGTTCCCTGTGGAACAATTTCAGTGGTGAAAAAAACAAGACAAAATAAATCAACTGTAAATGTAATTGATCATTTCAATTATGACTGATAACTTCCCGAAAATAGATGTACTGAACACAGTCTATGATTGATGCTGTTTAATCTATACAATATATAATAGGTAATCAATAGCATGTGTAAACAGTGCAAGAATAAACTGAGCCTTCAATGAGCTCAGGAGAGAACCAATCACTCAGAGCAGAGTGGGGAATAGAGGTAGGCAGAGAGATTATTTTCATTATTCTTCAGGCATATAGCTACAGAACAAGTCAGTAAAATACAAATACACATACAGTATATTAAAAACAATAGATTGTCCACGTTTGCTGCACTGCCCGTTGATTAAAAGCAGAAACGTGTTCCTATACAATGCAGTATTTCCTAGTCCACCCAGATAACATGGGGGTCCACGGGGTCTCCACAGGTACTGGCGTGCATCTGGATGTGGGACAGAGGGAACCTGAAGGAGCAGAGAGGGCAGGGCACCATGGACTCCTCTGGGCTGGCGGGAGGGCCAGGGAAGGGGCAGGGAACAGGGGTCACAATCCCCCCAGGGAGCTTCCTGGTCTCCGCCCGCTGGCAGGAGGCGGCGTGGAGTGGCAGGTACTCTGCAGTAAAGAACACTGCAGCATAGAGAAAGAGAGAGAACAGACGACGGGTGTCAATACTACTGTTGATTGTAAAAGTGAATCAACATATAGTATGTCATACAATACAGTACATGCACAGACTGATTAGAAGAAGCCAACGTAAACACACCTCCACATATTGGGCATGTGGTCTCAAGGTCACTAGTGTCCTGAGGCTCTGGAGATGGGTGAGGATGAGGGGCTGTGGCAGTGTGCTGTAGCATAGCTATAGGCCTCATACTGACTGCAGGTTTTCCCTGCTTACTAGAGGTGGTGCCATTCAGCTGGTTCTGCCTGGGAGGGAGATAAAGGACAGAGATTAATGCTGAGAGATGCATGTGAGCTAGAAGTTGCCCCTAAGTGCAGATCTAGGATAAGCTTACCCTCCCAAAATGATCCATGGGGTGGAGTATAGAGGAATACCTGCTTTTGGAGTTTGGTTTTCTCTTCAGCTGTCTTTGAGAAGTATTTTCCTTGGAGCTGCGAGCTGTGCTTAAACAAGCCATTGAAGCTGAACAACATAACACAACTTATCATTTGTCAAGCTTAGTGTTGGCAACAAAATTTACCAAGCTTGATGCATGGTATTTCTGAGAGCTGAGGTGTTTACCTGTGTGAGGGTGTATATTTCCCGTATTTCCAAGTGGCTTGCCTTTGTTGGGGGTAGCTGGATGAGCCCCTGGCTTGCCCTGGTTGGGGGTAGGGGTAGCTGCATCTGCATTGACTGTGGGAGGGGTAGTTGTATTCTGAGAGCCGGAGGATGATGTGCGACTGGGAGACAAGGAAGTGGAAGGAAGGGGAAGGGAGCGCCTGGCAGCCTGGGACGCTGTGAGGACCATACGAGCTGTCCGGCTCAGAACCACACCCTCCCTGACAGCAGGGGGAGACAAACCAAGGTGTAAGTCATTTTCTGTAAAAGTATATATTCATTCAATATGGTCTTCATAAAAATGTTGTCTAATTTGTTTGACAGTGCCTCATACAAAACTCAAAATCCCTCTATTTACCCTTTCGTTCCCCCAAAGAAGGTTCTCTGCACAGCAGGGCTGGAGAGCCATTCTCTCACGCCTGATGCTGATTTGTCTGGGGTTGTCTGAATAGAGAGAAGGTCAAAGGAGAGTGAGAATACAAGCACACACTTCTGGCCTCTGATGTTTACCAATAATACATATCTATTGTATATTCCCAAAGCATACACACATTTACCCTCAAAAACACACTTACTCCTATCTCATAACAGTCCAAATCGATCACCATAGGGTCGTTCCATATGATTTCAATCACTTTCTGACCGCACCCCTTTTGATTTGAACGAAACCGTTCATACATGTTTGCCCATGGTGGAAGTGGTCAGAAAGGGACTTTTTGGATCTGAATGCCAAAACATTCAGGAGACGGAGGTGCTCAAAGTTTACTTATTTTGCATACCCCACCCTACCATGAGACGTCCATGTCTTTATCACTGAAAAATATAAACGGTTGGGTTTGATATCATTTGAAACCTTACAAACGGGGTTGTCAAACTATTCTATGATTTCTTGAAAAAAACGAGAACAAAAAACTTTTTTTGGGTGGGGGGAATAAGACAGATGTCTTATTTAGCATACTCTTTGAAGAGGTAGGGTTCAAACTTTCTCGGAAGATGGGCAGGGACTCTGCTGTCCTTTAAAAAAAAAATGGTTTTGTCATTTAGCAGACGCTCTTATCCAGAGCGACTTACAGGAGGTTAAGTGCCTTGCTCAAGGGCACAGACGTTGAACTTGAAAATGGTTGTAATCTAACGCCTGCCTCAGACCACCTGTAGAACGGCTAAGTGCATTGTTAGATGCTTTTTTGCCCTCCCGTATCCCTTTATACACAGAAGATCTCCGCTAAACATAGAATCTCATGGTTTATCTTTCTCTCTGTGACCACTGATAACTTCAGAAAAAAGTTGACTACAATACAAAGTTGCCAATGTCTTTGCAATTGATACAAACAAGCGATGTATAAAAATATACTTCAAATGAAAATATAAACAGTAAGCTATAGGCTCATGTTCAATCATTTTATTTATATTCTGCTACTTGTAGGCTACTGTCTGTAAGTCTCAATATATTTCATGATGTGTAGTCTAACATGTGCGCAATGATGTGCCAAATTGGTGTTTTAGTGCATTTTTATTGGGTAAGCATTAGAATAAGCCACCTCAATATTTGCAGCCGTAGGTGGTAATATCTTTCTAGTAGCTGTTCCGTCGTCAGTATTGTGAAATAATTATAATGTTAAGGTAAGATTTGAATGGAGAAAGCTCTCCCGAGAGCAGCGCTCCCTTTCTTTCGATCCTATCAGTATTGACACATGCTCCAACGACGCAATTAGTGACCGTTCTCTCTGCGTGGTGTTTTGGGAAACGCATGTTACATCTTCGGCCGTTGTAGGAAAGATGCATCGTTAAAACACTCGTAAGCCTAAGTTCTATCGCTATTGGGAAACCGGGCCCAGAGGTGTTCTCTGCGATTTACTGTACCGTTCTCTCTGAAGAGTTCACTTCCAAGCCCTCAGTCTATACACACCTGATCCTGGTTCTCTTTGCCAGTCTGTGTGGAGCCCTCCTCGCTCTCCTCCAGGGGGCTGCGGATGCGCAGGAAGGACAGGCCAAACTGAGACTGCTTGTTAAAAGGCTGAGTGCAGGTCACTCTCACCCGGTCCCAGCTGTCCTCAAAACCTTCTGACAGGAAATCACCTGGGTGGGGGGGGGGGGGGGGCCGACGGACAGACATGGGTGTCAATTGTTTTGGAGGGTTACTAAAGAAGCATCTTTGGACACTGATTCTCATTCCCTTCCTCTATATTGCATGAAAAAATGTTCCTACTATTGTCATATACTGGATGGATCTCAGCCCTATCTGTTCGCACCTTTCTTGAACATTCTCACTCCTGTCCGCCCCGTGCCCTGTCGCGATTCTGCTGGACTCATCAGGGTTGCTGTTGGCAACAGGGTGATATAAGGCTGGTCATGGGGCCAAGAGGAGCGGCCGACATCGATCTGAACGAACGCAGATCCACAGTTACCTACAAATTACACAGCAAGGTGGGAAATGGTCATTCAATTGTATGGAACATCAAAACAAAACGATAAGTGTCCCATTGTAGGTTTACTCTGGATTTTAGATAATACATAGACTTTGTTGTCAATCTTGATGAGCCTTACCCACATCGATGTATCCAAAGCATGAGGCTCGCTCCAGCTGCAGTTCTGCTCTGAGGACTCCACTACAGTCCTGGGGGTTACACAGCCACGACCTGCTGTCTCCACCCTCACCACAAAGGTTCTCCACACAGTTCTTGGGGTCCTGCACCATTTCAATACAATTAACTAGGAGCTACATGTAAAGCTACTGATGTAACGCATGTGACATAGCAGTGGTTGTTTTCACCTGTGGTACCCTAACCTGCTTAGATAATTTAACGACCTACTGAGTTTCTGTCCAGTAGCTGAACCTTTCTCATCATGCCAAATGCATTTGGTTAATGCTAGCTGCTTAGATAATTTAACATCATTTTAATCTACTGAGTTTTTAACTATAGTTAGCTAGCTACTGTAGCTAGTCATTGCTAGCCAGTTGGCCCTAGTCTACTTGAAGTAAGCTAGTTGACTGTTAAATACACGAACTTACCTGTGACGTGAATGAAACGACGTGTTTGATTTTCACTGGGGCCATATTAAGGTCAAATTAATTAGCTGTCTGTTTATATCAAATTTCGGAGACCATCAGCTGAACAGTTTCTTACGTGTACATTCTTCCCGCCACCAGAAAACAACCACTGCTGTGAGTGTTGACAAACGGAAAAAGAACTCGCGTGCAGTGTTTAGATTGGCCCTCCGGTTTTCCAACCCGGAAATGGCATGAGCTAGGAATTGACAGCACTCCCGAAGATGGCGGGGGTGTTTGAGGTGGAGGTTGATGGTGTAGAACACGATCATGGACTCGGACACCACGATGAACCAAATCAGGTTAGGGTACCACAGGTGTTACCGTTGTAGAATCAGAAAAGAAAACAATTTACGTGAATTGTAAAGTGCTCACGCTGCCAATATGGACTAGACCTGCATCTTCCACCGGCTAGTTAACGTCACACGGTGTTAGCTAACATCCCAGTTGTCTTCCCATTTTAGCCAGACAGGTAGGCTATCATTGAGTGCATTTCTCTATTGAGTGCATTAGGAAACCAAGTATTTATCCAATTATAGCAGTCAGCTAAGACAAATGTACAAGGACCATCATCACGCCCTTGTCTTGTACTGTAGCTACGTGGTAGCTGACTTACTATTTAGCTAACGTTAGCTGGCTAAGTAGCCACAGATAGCTAGATAGTTAAATTGATCATTACCTGCCCCCAATTCGGTGCTTTAGCTTGACAACCCCTTTCTCTCCTATTACAACAGCAATTGCATCAATGATATAGCAATGTTAGGGTTGTCGCGATACTACGATAGCTGATTTGCAATGGCATAAAGGAAAACACTAAGCAGACCAAACCCTACTGTATGTAAAATATTGTGTGCTATAGTTTGGAAAATAAACATGTGATTCTGGGTGACAGCATAAGGTTGCTTGTTTCCAACATTAGGACTTGTTTCCTCGGGAATTGTAGTCTGCTTCATGGTTTGTTTCCTGGCCAAGATACCTCTGAGTATCGTGATACTAATATCGTGACAACCCTATTTTAGCTAGCACTCATTAGATGGCATGACATACAAGCGCTGATGTGGCAGACTGAGTCAAAGGTCATATCCTGGCAGCTCGAGCTCTCTAATCAATGCTTTGTACCAAAGGCCAATTTTCTCACCATTTAGCTCTAATGGACAGAAACTGTGCCTGTTCTCTTTGTTGGCCAGCAGGGTTAATCCCTTTTAGTGTTCACATGTCTATCCACTATCAACAGCCTCCCAACCCACATGAAAACTGATCAGAATACAGACTGTTTTGTTAACATGGTCATTTTTAAGGCATGCAATCATTGTATTTAGTAGATTAATTGTGACTTTTATTTCCGAGGTTCTAAATGAATATACACTGTTCAAAAAAATAAAGGGAACACTTAAACAACACAATGTAACTCCAAGTCAATCACACTTCTGTGAAATCAAACTGTCCACTTAGGAAGCAACACTGATTGACAATACATTTCACATGCTGTTGTGCAAATGGAATAGACAACAGGTGGAAATTATAGGCAATTAGCAAGACACCCCCAATAAAGGACTGGTTTTGCAGGTGGTGACCACAGATCACTTCTCAGTTCCTATGCTTCCTGGCTGATGTTTTGGTCACTTTTGAATGCTGGCGGTGCTTTCACTCTAGTGGTAGCATGAGACGGAGTCTACAACCCACACAAGTGGCTCAGGTAGTGCAGCTCATCCAGGATGGCACATCAATGCGAGCTGTGGCAAGAAGGTTTGCTGTGTTTGTCAGCGTAGTGTCCAGAGCATGGAGACATTTTACATTTACATTTTAGTCATTTAGCAGACGCTCTTATCCAGAGCGACTTACAGGAGCAATTAGGGTTAAGTGCCTTGCTCAAGGGCACATTAACGTCATTTAGCAGACGCTCTTAGCCAGAGCGACTCACAAATTGGTGCGTTCACCCTATAGCCAGTGGGATAACCACTTTACAATTGGGGGGGGTAGAAGGATTCCTTTATCCTATCCCAGGTATTCCTTAAAGAGGTGGGGTTTCAAATGTCTCCGGAAGGTGGTGAGTGACTCCGCTGTCCTGGCGTCGTGAGGGAGCTTGTTCCACCATTGGGGTGCCAGAGCAGCGAACAGTTTTGACTGGGCTGAGCGGGAACTATGCTTCCGCAGAGGAAGGGGAGCCAGCAGGCCAGAGGTGGATGAGCGCAATGCCCTCGTTTGGGTGTAGGGACTGATCAGAGCCTGAAGGTACAGAGGTGCCGTTCCCCTCACTGCTCCATAGGCAAGCACCATGGTCTTGTAGCGGATGCGAGCTTCAACTGGAAGCCAGTGGAGTGTGCGGAGGAGGGGGGGTGACGTGAGAGAACTTGGGAAGGTTGAACACCAGACGGGCTGCGGCATTCTGGATGAGTTGTAGGGGTTTAATGGCACAGGCAGGGAGGCCAGCCAACAGCGAGTTGCAGTAGTCCAGACGGGAGATGACAAGTGCCTGGATTAGGACCTGTGCCGCTTCCTGTGTAAGGCAGGGTCGTACTCTCCGAATGTTGTAGAGCATGAACCTGCAGGAGCGGGTCACCGCCTTGATGTTGGCGGAGAACGACAGGGTGTTGTCCAGGGTCACGCCTAGGCTCTTCGCACTCTGGGAGGAGGACACAGCGGAGTTGTCAACCGTGATGGCGAGATCATGGAACGGGCAGTCCTTCCCCGGGAGGAAGAGCAGCTCCGTCTTGCCAGGGTTCAGCTTGAGGTGGTGATCCGTCATCCATACTGATATGTCTGCCAGACATGCAGAGATGCGATTCGCCACCTGGTTATCAGAAGGGGGAAAGGAGAAGATTAGTTGTGTATCGTCAGCGTAGCAATGATAGGAGAGACCATGTGAGGATATGACAGAGCCAAGTGACTTGGTGTATAGGGAGAAAAGGAGAGGGCCTAGAACTGAGCCTTGGGGGACACCAGTGGTGAGAGCACGTGGTGCGGAGACAGCTTCTCGCCACGCCACTTGGTAGGAGCGACCGGTCAGGTAGGACGCAATCCAGGAGTGAGCCGCGCCGGAGATGCCCAGCTCGGAGAGGGTGGAGAGGAGGATCTGATGGTTCACAGTATCAAAGGCAGCAGACAGGTCTAGAAGGACAAGAGCAGAGGAGAGAGAGTTAGCTTTAGCAGTGCGGAGAGTCTCCGTGACACAGAGAAGAGCAGTCTCAGTTGAATGACCAGTCCTGAAACCTGATTGGTTTGGATCAAGAAGGTCATTCTGAGAGAGATAGCAAGAGAGTTGGCTAAAGACGGCACGCTCAATAGTTTTGGAAAGAAAAGAAAGAAGGGATACTGGTCTGTAGTTGTTGACATCAGTGGGGTCGAGTGTTGGTTTTTTGAGAAGGGGAGCAACTCTCGCTCTCTTGAAGACGGAAGGGACATGGCCAGCGGTCAAGGATGAGTTGATCAGCGAGGTGAGGTAGGGGAGAAGGTCACCGGAGATGGTCTGGAGAAGGGAGGAGGGGATGGGGTCAAGCGGGCAGGTTGTTGGGCGGCCTGCAGTCACAAGTCGCAGGATTTTATCTGGAGAGAGAGGGGAGAAAGAAGTCAAAGCATAGGGTAGGGCAGTGTGAGCAGGACCAGCAGTGTCATTAGACTTAACAAACGAGGATCGGATGTCGTCAACCTTCTTTTCAAAGTGGTTGACGAAGTCATCCACAGAGAGAGAGGAGGGGGGGGATTCAGGAGGGAGGAAAATGTGGCAAAGAGCTTCCTAGGGTTAGAGGCAGATGCTTGGAATTTAGAGTGGTAGAAGGTGGCCTTAGCAGCAGAAACAGATGAAGAAAATGTAGAGAGGAGGGAGTGAAAAGATGCCAGGTCGGCAGGGAGTTTAGTTTTCTTCCATTTCCGCTCCGCTGCCCGGAGCTCTGTTCTGTGAGCTCGCAGTGAGTCATCAAGCCACGGAGCTGGAGGGGAGGACCGAGCCGGCCGGGAGGATAGGGGACACAGAGAGTCAAAGGATGCAGAAAGGGAGGAGAGGAGGGTTGAGGAGGCAGAATCAGGAGATTGGAGGGAGAAGGAGTGAGCAGAGGGAAGAGATGATAGGATGGAAGAGGAGAGAGTAGTGGGAGAGAGAGAGCGAAGGTTGCGGCGGCGCATTACCATCTGTGTAGGGGCAGAGTGAGTAGTGTGGGAGGAGAGCGAGAGAGAAAAGGAAACAAAGTAGTGGTCGGAGACATGGAGGGGAGTTGCAGTGAGATTAGTAGAGGAGCAGCATCTAGTGAAGATGAGGTCAAGCGTATTGCCTGCCTTGTGAGTAGGGGGGGACGGTGAGAGGGTGAGGTCAAAAGAGGAGAGGAGTGGAAAGAAGGAGGCAGAGAGAAATGAGTCAAATGTGGACATAGGGAGGTTGAAATCCCCCAAAACTGTGAGGGGTGAGCCATCCTCAGGAAAGGAATTTATCAAGGCGTCAAGCTCATTGATGAACTCTCCAAGGGAACCTGGAGGGCGATAGATGACAAGGATATTAAGCTTAAATGGGCTAGTGACTGTGACAGCATGGAATTCAAATGAGGAGATAGACATATGGGTTAGGGGAAAAATTGAGAATGTCCACTTGGGAGAGATGAGGATTCCTGTACCACCACCCCTCTGACCAGATGCTCTCGGGGTATGCGAGAACACATGGTCAGACGAGGAGAGAGCAGTAGGAGTAGCAGTGTTTTCAGTGGTGATCCATGTTTCCGTCAGCGCCAGGAAGTCGAGGGACTGGAGGTTGGCATAGGCGCTACCAGGAGACAGGCCAGTACATCAGGAGACGTGGAGGAGGCCGTAGGAGGGCAACAACCCAGCAGCAGGACTGCTACCTCCGCCTTTGTGCAAGGAGGAGCAGGAGGAGCACTGCCAGAGCCCTGCAAAATGACCTCCAGCAGGCCATAAATGTGCATGTGTCTGCTCAAACGGTCAGAAACAGACTTCATGAGGGTGGTATGAGGGCCCGACGTCCACAGGTGGGGGTTGTGCTTACAGCCCAACACCGTGCAGGACGTTTGGCATTTGCCAGAGAACACCAAGATTGGCAAATTCGCCACTGGCGCCCTGTGCTCTTCACAGATGAAAGCAGGTTCACACTGAGCACATGTGACAGAGTCTGGAGACGCCGTGGAGAACGTTCTGCTGCCTGCAACATCCTCCAGCATGACCGGTTTGGCGGTGGGTCAGTCATGGTGTGGGGTGGCATTTCTTTGGGGGGCCGCACAGCCCTCCATGTGCTCGCCAGAGGTAGCCTGACTGCCATTAGGTACTGAGATGAGATCCTCAGACCCCTTGTGAGACCATATGCTGGTGCGGTTGGCCCTGGGTTCCTCCTAATGCAAGACAATGCTAGACTGTGGCTGGAGTGTGTCAGCAGTTCCTGCAAGAGGAAGGCATTGATGCTATGGACTGGCCCGCCCGTTCCCCAGACCTGAATCCAATTGAGCACATCTGGGACATCATGTCTCGCTCCATCCACCAACGCCACGTTGCACCACAGACTGTCCAGGAGTTGGCGGATGCTTTAGTCCAGGTCTGGGAGGAGATCCCTCAGGAGACCATCCGCCACCTCATCAGGAGCATGCCCAGGCGTTGTAGGGAGGTCATACAGGCACGTGGAGGCCACACACACTACTGAGCCTCAGTTTGACTTGTTTTAAGGACATTACATCAAAGTTGGATCAGCCTGTAGTGTGGTTTTCCACTTTAATTTTGAGGGTGACTCCAAATCCAGACCTTCATGGGTTGATAAATTTGATTTCCATTGATCATTTTTGTGTGATTTTGTTGTCAGCACATTCAACTATGTAAAGAAAAAAGTATTTAATAAGATTATTTCATTCATTCAGATCTAGGATGTGTTATTTTAGTGTTCCCTTTATTTTTTTTGAGCAGTGTATTTTATGTATGTAGAACATTACTAATTGAGTTAGAAGCGTTTGGAATTGTTGTGAATGTCTGTTTGGCTTGTTCTCACTTCAGGTCGACCTGTCCCATCTGTCACCGGAGGAGAAGTGGAGGTCAGTCTCTATACACAATTATTAATTCTGGCTGCAAATTAGATTTAAGTCACAAATGTTGAATCACAAAAGTCAAGTTTAGTTAAACATTATCAGGTTTAGCTAAAGTCTGATTGATAAACTAAGGGCTCTAAAGTATATCAACAATGTTTCCTTCCAATGAACTTGTAATGTGTTACTAATATGACGATTATAAGAATCTATCCAGATACTTAATAGTGATTTATCATATTGGATACACAGGCCTGATCAGTAGGTTGATTATAGTGTGTGTGTGTGTGTGTGTGTGTGTGTGTGTGTGTGTGTCAATAGGTTGGAGCATGCCAGGATGCATGCGAAACACAAGGGCCATGAGGCCATGCACGCTGAGATGGTGCTTATCCTCATTGTCACCCTGGTCATCGCCCAGCTGGTCCTTGTGCAATGGAAACAGAGGCACCCCAAGTCCTACAATGTAAAACAATCTCACTCTCTCGCACAGTCATGCTCACGCAAACACACAAACACATGCTGTCTTATGGGCAGAAAGAGGAAATACACAGCATGCCCTGCAGGCAAATCATACAAATCACACTTCACATACTGTATAGACAAAATGTCCACAGACCAGTTTCTTCCACTGTACACAGTCTGGTTCTCAGTGTTATTCAGCCTCAAATTGAACTATGTGTGTCTGTACTTTAAAATGTGTGTTATTTTCTATTTTTGTAGCTGGTGACTCTGTTCCAGATGTGGGTGGTTCCTCTGTACTTCACCACCAAGCTTCACTGGTGGAGGTTTCTGGTCACGTGGTTAATCTTCTCTGTGGTCACTGCATACGTTACCTACCGTGCCACACGCAAGCCCCTGGAGTGCACCACGCCCAGGTAAGGCCCCATACACAAGCCCAGGTAGTGTCTACACACATCCATATAATACCTCATAATATGGGGCGGCAGATAGCCTAGCGGTTAGGAGTGTTGGGCCAGTAACCAAAAGGTTGCTGGTTCAAATCCCCGAGCCGACTAGGTGAACAATCTGTCCATGTGCCCTTGAGCAAGGCACTTAATCCTAATTGCTCCAGGGTTGCTGTCAATAATGGCTCCTGAGTGGCGCAGTGGTCTAAGGCACTGCATCGCAGTGCAAAACTGTGCCACTAGATCCTGGTTCGAATCCAGGCTCTGTCGCAGCCGGCCGCGACCGGGAGACTCATGGGCGGCGCACAATTGGCCCAGCGTCGTCCAGGGTAGGGGAGGGAATGGCCGGCAGGGATGTAGCTCAGTTGATAGAGCATGGTGTTTGCAACGCCAGGGTTGTGGGTTCGATTCCCACAGGGGGCCAGTATAAAAAAATAAATAATAATATGTAAGTCGCTCTGGATAAGAGCGTCTGCTAAATGACTAAAATGTAAATGTAAATGTAATACCTTGCTCTGACCCCACTCTCTGAGGGTGTCTCAGGGGGAGTGGGATATGCAAAAAAACAACACATTTGCACTTGTGAAATAGGACAAATGTAAGCACCCACCTAATTATCTTATCCCAAATGTCTAGGTGATGCATGATAAAATGGTCATGGTAAGAGGGCCACCAATCAAAAGTCCCAAACCCAACCTGTCTTGCAGACAGTGCTGCTCTTGGCAAAATACTGATCTATGTTTCTTCACATTACCTCTGCCAGTTAGCTGAAATATGTCTGAATGTTCCCTTGTGTTTCTGTGGACAGGCTGGTCTACAAATGGTTCCTCCTCCTCTACAAGATCAGCTATGCCACAGGGATAGTGGGCTACACTGTCGTCATGTTTACACTGTTTGGCATCAATTTGATATTTAGGTATGTTCTAGTTATTTATTGGCACAATTGTGTATTTATGGACAATACCAGTGGTTCACAAGCATCATCCTTGTGTAGTTAGTAACTTTCTCTCTGAAACCTTTGAAATACGTTTTGATTTAAAGAGGCACCAGAGCTTTCTTTGAGAAGTAGTAACATGTTAATCATGCTAATAGGATTGATATTGATGATGCTTTTGGTTTGCATTATTTCCAGAATAAAGCCAGAAGACGCAATGGATTTTGGTGTGTCCTTGCTGTTCTATGGTCTGTACTATGGGGTCCTGGGTAGGGACTTTGCCGAAATGTGTGCAGACTTCATGGCATCAACAGTGGGGGTTAGTATGCAAGTACTACTTTTTTTAGTAAAGGCTGTGAATCTGTCCAGCAACATTATATTGTGTCTCTGACTTCTCTAGTACTACAGTGCGTCTGGAATGCCCACCAAGCACCTCTCAGACAGTATCTGCGCTGTGTGTGGCCAGCCCATACTGGTTGACATCAGCGAAGAGGGAATCATCGAGAACACCTACAGACTATCCTGCAACCATGTGTATCCTTTTTCATCTAAGAAATATGCTCTAGATAAATATGAACATATTTTACCTCATTTGAATAACACATAGGAGCATGATGTGGTAGAACTGATTTGTCTTTTGCATAAAAGCTGTAACTGTCAGTCTCAGTCATGGAAAATAGGTGGTGTACGCACACAAACGGCAAAGGGAAATTGACCAAACAAACGTGCGCATTAACTTTATCTCTGAGATGTGACTGTTGTTCCCATGACTCAATAACACTGTACCATGAGCCCGTCTCACTTCCTGTTTCTGTAAATAATGTTGACCTATGTCATCTCCTGTAATGACTGCCTGTACTAGTCTTCCATGAGGTGAAATGTCACATGTTTTATGGCATTTGTGGTAACTGTGTTCACCTTTTGAGGACATCAGATTTGAATAGCGTACTGGGGATGTTGCTGAAATGGTTGTTACAGTGTGCCACAGGGAAGAAGTAGGAAGAAACTTTCCAGTATGCCGTTTTACTATGCCTACAGCATCTGACCTAATGTTTCATATTTGGCTTCATTTTGTAGTTATTCTCAGGTTTTTAGGGTTGAATGCATACACATGATTTCTGTATTTTTAAAGTGACAAATCTTCAAAACTTGATTGCCGACAAGCAAAACATTTTGGGACTATGTCAACAATGGACTAACGAAACAAATACCAAATTCCCTTAACTCTCTCTGTCTCAGATTCCATGAGTTCTGCATACGAGGATGGTGCATCGTGGGAAAGAAGCAGACATGCCCGTACTGCAAAGAGAAGGTGGACCTGAAGAGGATGTTCAGTAACCCGTATCCTTTACTCTTCTGCGCTCATATGACATGTTTGTATTTAGTTTTCACTTTTATTTATACAGGTAAGTCAATTAAGAACAAATTCTTATTTACAATGACGACCTGTCAGGGAGCGAGCGCAGCACGTATAACACAATGGTAAAGTACAGTGAGGGAAAAAAGTATTTTATCCCCTGCTGATTTTGTCAAAGAAATGATCAGTCTATAATTTTAATGGTAGGTTGATTTGAACAGTGAGAGACATTTACATTTACATTTTAGTCATTTAGCAGACGCTCTTATCCAGAGCGACTTACAGTTAGTGAATACACATTTTTTTAAATTTTATTTTTTATACTGGCCCCCCGTGGGAATTGAACCCACAACCCTGGCGTTGCAAACGCCATGCTCTATCAACTGAGCTACATCCCTGCCGGCCATTCCCTCCCCTACCCTGGATGACGCTGGGCCAATTGTGCGCCGCCCATGAGTCTCCCGGTCGCGGCCGGCTGCGACAGAGCCTGGATTCGAACCAGGATCTCTAGTGGCACAGTTAGCACTGCGATGCAGTGCCTTAGACCACTGCGCCACTCAGGAGGACACAGACAGAATAACAACAAAAAAATCCAGAAAAACGCATGTCAAAAATGTTATAAATTGATTTGCATTTTAATGAGGGAAATAAGTATTTGACCCCCTCTCGATCAGAAAGATTTCTGGCTCCCAGGTGTCTTTTATACAGGTAACGAGCTGAGATTAGGAGCACACTCTTAAAGGGACTGCTCCTAATTTCAGCTTGTTACCTGTATAAAAGACACCTGTCCACAGAAGCAATCAATCAATCAGATTCCAAACTCTCCACCATGGCCGAGACCAAAGAGCTCTCCAAGGATATCAGGGACAAGATTGTAGACCTACACAAGGCTGGAATGGGCTACAAGACCATCGCCAAGCAGCTTGGTGAGAAGGTGACAACAGTTGGTGCGATTATTCGCAAATGGAAGAAACACAAAAGAACTGTCAATCTCCCTCGGCCTGGGGCTCCATGCAAGATCTCACCTCGTGGAGTTGCAATGATCATGAGAACGGTGAGGAATCCGACCAGAACTACACAGGAGGAGCTTGTCAATGATCTCAAGGCAGCTGGGACCATAGTCACCAAGAAAACAATTGGTAACACACTACGCCGTGAAGGACTGAAATCCTGCAGCGCCCGCAAGGTCCCCCTGCTCAAGAAAGCACATATACATGCCCGTCTGAAGTTTGATAATGAACATCTGAATGATTCAGAGGAGAACTGGGTGAAAGTGTTGTGGTCAGATGAGACCAAAATCGAGCTCTTTGGCATCAACTCGCCGTGTTTGGAGGAGGAGGAATGCTGCCTATGACCCCAAAAACACCATCCCCACCGTCAAACATGGAGGTGGAAACACTATGCTTTGGGGGTGTTTTTCTGCTAAGGGGACAGGACAACTTCACGCATCAAAGGGACGATGGACGGGGCCATGTACCGTCAAATTTTAGTCAAAATTTCCTTCCCTCAGCCAGGGCATTGAAAATGGGTCGTGGATGGGTATTCCAGCATGACAATGACCCAAAACACACGGCCAAGGCAACAAAGGAGTGGCTCAAGAAGAAGCACATTAAGGTCCTGGAGTGGCCTAGCCAGTCTCCAGACCTTAATCCCATAGAAAATCTGTGGAGGAAGCTGAAGGTTTGAGTTGCCAAATGTCAGCCTCGAAACCTTAATGACTTGGAGAAGATCTGCAAAGAGGAGTGGGACAAAATCCCTCCTGAGATGTGTGCAAACCTGGTGGCCAACTACAAGAAACGTCTGACCTCTGTGATTGCCAACAAGGGTTTTGCCACCAAGTACTAAGTAATGTTTTGCAGAGGGGTCAACTACTTATTTCCCTCATAAAAAATCAATTTATAACATTTTTGACATGCATTTTTCAGGATTTTTTTGTTGTTATTCTGTCTCATTGTTCAAATAAACCTACCATTAAAATTATAGACTGATCATTTCTTTGTCAGTGGGCAAACGTACAAAATCAGCAGGGGATCAAATACCTTTTTCCCTCACTGTAATATCATACAAACAGTCAAAAATACACAATGCACAGCCAGTAAAACAGTCGGTAAAACATTCAGTAATAGGCAGTATTTAAGAGGCAGGGGGAAAACGCATGCAGTTATCAGTTAAAATCTGAGTGCTTGTCTATTTTAATATTCTCGTCTCTTGTAGTTTGTCTTAGTGTTACTTTTTTTTATTATCTGTGTCTTTAACTTTCAGATTGACTCTCTTTCGGTCTCACTCAACGTGACCCTTTGTCACTCATTGTTTCACCCACTCTCCATCTCTGTTGGTCAGCATGACTGGAATTCGCACAGTCCAGAGGACACTTGAGTTTCACTCTCTGTGTAGTGTACTTAGGGGCACATAAGATGGCAAATGTTGAGGCCAGGTTATTTTGCTTGGCCGTGCTGGGAATAGGTTGTTTACACAGTGATGTTGTTCATGGGACTTTTGACCCACATTGACATGTAAACACAAACTGGAACTGGACATTATGGGAAGGGACCTCAGGTGAAGTCCTCTGAAAACGAGGTTAACCATTATCTGACAGTTGTGGCTTTGTCTTACATTTACATTTTAGTCATTTAGCAGACGCTCTTATCCAGAGCGACTTAGTTAGTTGTCTTCATGGAGACCTTACAGATCTGGCATAACCTAGTTCCTGTTCTGCTGCAGTAAAAACTCTACAGACACAGCTGTCTGTCATTTCTGCTTTAGGGGAGGGGGTTACCATGGTAACCACTCAACACACAAGTCCTTTATTGACCAACACAGCATACATATAATATTTATTTTAACACACTTTTAATTAAATAACACCCTAGAGCAGGGGTTCTAACGTTTTTACAGCCTGGGACCCTAATGAGAAATGTTTTCCTGGGTCCCGAGCTCATGAATACATGCCCCCATTTGGGGGCCCTAAGTGAGATTTGTGCCCCCCCTGGGGATGTGCCCGGTCGGTATTTGGCCATAACTAGTATAAGTTTAATTAGTCCATCACTCACTCCCAACTTACCAATCTAAAAATTGTCAGTGACTGACATAGCAAGAGAAAAACTGCTGATGCTTAACCAAATTTTGAAATTGCACCTTGTGTATTCTACTATTCTAACTCAACAGTAAGTTGAGACCCTGGTTAGGATATACTGTAGGTATTGGGAAGATGTTATCCATTCCCCAAAGGTCCTGAATGATCTATAATAATCATATGTTGTCACAGACTGGATGTGTTTATTACAACTCTAAATGAAGGTTAGTTAAGGTTTGGTTGGGTCAGGCACTGGGTTATGTAAGAGAGGTTGGAATCAGGGGTGGGGTTGTCACTTAATTGTCTGTCTCCTTGATCCATTATCTGAAGCTGGGAGAGGCCACATGTCATGTATGGACAACTCCTGGACTGGCTCCGCTACCTTGTCGCTTGGCAACCAGTAATCATTGGACTTGTGCAAGGCATCAACTACATCCTGGGGCTGGAGTGACCTGGGAGAGTGGAGAGGGACACACAAGCCGTATGGAGATGGTAGATACTGCACTGGCCTGACAGAGACTAGGAGGCCTCACCATGGACTATAAGAACATCTATTATAAACTGTGTCTATACATGTACTATTTGTATATATTTATAGGCACATAGTATCTGTATTTAAGATTTATTAGAATTTTACTAGTAACCTGGGTTTGGATGTCTGTTTTATTGTATTTTTGTTTAGTCAATCACAACTTTTTAAACAAATGCAGTGTACATTTCATCACTTAGTAAAATGGTCCTCAGTTTTTTGATGGAGATGCTTTTTCAAAAATCATTTGTCTTAACGTTTGTTGTTGATATTTGTTGGTTTCTACGGTAATGAGTGGTTAACACAGCCCAGATGAGTGAGTGAAGCGTTGTAGAGTGCCAGTCTTCATTTTGTGTGTTAAATCTGCACCTTTTGTTAGTGGAGGTCCTGGTTGAATGTGGCTTCTGGGGTGAGGGTTTCTGGTCCCTCAGGAGCACTGGTCTCAAGACAGTGTGTCCTATCCTACTACAGACTGCCATCTCTTTAAGAGGGGAACTGCCCTTTCCAATATGTCCATCTCACGCCTCTCTCAGACAGCCTCTCCTGTCTGTGTTCAGCCCAGATGACTCAAGAAATAGGTACTGTAAAAGACTGTATGCAAAAAGGTGAATATAATTTGATCATTTCGGTTGTCGGTTTACTTTTTTGTCATGTTTTAGTTTTCTTGATTGTCTGTTATTAAACGTGAGACAGTCAAGATCAGGTGGACATTACTTCATTTAGACCAGATTCACTAGTATAGAGTCATGACCTGGGGGATTTTGTGTATCATTTCCAGAATATTATACTTCCTATTCCGTTAAGATGCAATATAGTTCTCGTCGTATAAAGAAACATACCAGACTGATGCCAGCCATGCCACCCTGGACTAGGATTGGGTGTGGCCATTGAAATATGATCTCTTTTTAGACTGCTCCTGTGATAAATATAGGTAAACAGTAAAAATATATTTTGTTATATGATTCATGTCCGTGTGTTAAATGAGTCTCACTTAAGTCATATGGTAGAGGGTATATTACACATGAGAAATGTGACCTGAATATGTCAGAAGTCACATTTGAGGTCAAAATCTCACTTAACTCATTTAATCTTGACTGTCTAACATGAATCTGCAAAATAACTTTACAGGGAATTCCCTTTATGCGTGTGTTCTTGGTACGCGTGGGTTAAGGGGAAGTAACTGTGCATATATAGTAAGTAAATGACAGTGTTGTTACAACCAGCTTTGTTGACCAACTCACACAGTAGTCAGACTGAAGCCAGTATGGAGTTGACGATTCTTCTCACAGGTAAGAGATCCTCTAACATTCTCACACACGTTCACTGACGTATGCGGAGTATGGGAATGTGCATTTTTCTGCTGAATATGGATCTACATTTTCTGTATGTGCCTGTGTTTCGCAATGGCTGATGGTGTCCTCCATCTCTTCACTACAGCCTTCATGGGATGTATTGGGGTCCTACGCTCAGAGGCCACTGCAGGTCTGTCAGTCTATCTTCCTGCATACATAATTTTTTTAACGTTTCAAAGTGTCTCTCTAACTTCAGATGTTATTGTCCAGATTCCATAGAGATGCTGGGTCCCAGAATCCTCCAGCCCCATAGGTCCAAAATAAGAGCTGGTCTAGGTAAAGAATTCTGCCATCTGTTATTTTTTACGTTTTCATGAAAGTGGCTTATATCAATAGTGGATATTCTCGAGTGTTTAAACTCGCAGACAACCTGGTCTTCGCCTCAGTGTTTTAGAATCTGGGTGTGCGGTCTGAGAATTCTATTCTGGTGTTGGTTAAGAACCACCGTTTTTAACAAACAGGATGTGTTTGTCATATACAGGGGAGCAGTTGGTTATTGAATGTAAGGCAGACCCAGGCCTTCCTGATGACTTTACCCTTGTCTACTGGCTGGTCAACAGAATCTTCCCAGAGGTAGCCTACACTGATGGCAGAGTATCAGAAACAGAGGAGTAAGTACTGGGGTTTGTCTTCACACAAAACCATGTCCCTTACTTTCTACCCTTTAACAATGCTGTTAATACTATACTACTCTTTCCATATTTGGACCACACATGTAGAGTACGCAAAGTCTACAGTATGTGTTCTGTTCAGCTGTTGTACGATATAATATGTGGAGGGAGTGTTGGCTAAGTGTTGTAAATGTGGTTTCAGATCAGCCTCAGAGGACGGCAGGGTGATCCAGAGGAGTCTGGTGTTCAAGAACGTGACTGCAGAAGATTTCAGGTCCACTTTTACCTGTGTGATAAGAAGCCTGGCTGGGCTTGACCAAAGGACTGTCACACTGATGCCCAATCACAAGGCTAGTTTTCCCTCATTACCTCAAGTCCTCTCCCCTCGTCCTTCACTCACTCCCAACTCAAAACACCTGGGGAAACCGAGAAAGGAACTCAAGAAGAAACATAGGATAAAGGATCAGAGAAAAAAACGAAACCACGCTTGCAAGAAATGAGTCTTAGTCCACTTGTGTATCATCCATACTTCGGTCAACAACAACTATTGCGCCATCTAGTGATAAGTCAAATATGGATTCTAATGCAATGTTGAGGACTCAAATAATAGGGATGGATAAGAAAATACATTAAATTGTTGACAAGTTGTTTTTGTTGTTGCACAGACTCTGTAGCCTAGATTAAAGACAGTTTAGTTTAGAGGGAACTTCTCTTCATATGTCCTTATTTTTTTCACATTTGTTAGAAATTGATTCAATTGTGTTTTATCATATTACAGTGAGACCATAACTGTTCTGGTAGTAGGCAGCCATTGCAAATAAGGTTGCATCATGTCATTTGTGTGCACCTTGTAAGCTCATATAAAACACTGATAACAGTGCATCAGCTCACTATTGTGTAAAGCAGGGAGGACCCCTTCTGAAGGCCTGCGGATCAATTTCCAAATGTTTTTGTATTTTTTTTTAGGAACTCAGTCAGGGTCTCAATTTACTGTTGAGAGTTAGAATAGTAGAATACACAACATGCCAGGGTCAATTCCATTTCAATTCACGAAGTACAATGAAATTTCCTACTCCATTGCTTTTCAATGAGAAATGTGGAATTGGGTTTTCTTAGAATTTACTGGAATTTAAATGGAATTGACTCAACCCTGCAATGTGCAATTTAGAAATGTGGTTGAATCAGCAATTTCTCTCTTATGTCAGTCACTGATAGTCACTCAATTAGCCCATGTCCGCTAACATTTTTTAGATTGGTAAGTTAGTTGAGCCAGCTATCTAAAGTTGTAGTAATCATGGTCGAATTATCGACCAGGGGCCCCCATTGATTTTGTTAGTAACTCAGGTATACACTGCTCAAAAAAATAAAGGGAACACTAAAATAACACATCCTAGATCTGAATGAATGAAATAATCTTATTAAATACTTTTTTATTTACATAGTTGAATGTGCTGACAACAAAATCACACAAATGATCAATGGAAATAAAATGCATCAACCCATGGAGGTCTGGATTTGGAGTCACCCTCAAAATGAAACTGGAAAACCACACTACAGGCTGATCCAACTTTGATGTAATGTCCTTAAAACAAGTCAAAATGAGGCTCAGTAGTGTGTGTGGCCTCCACGTGCCTGTATGACCTCCCTACAACGCCGGGCATGCTCCTGATGAGGTGGCGGATGGTCTCCTGAGGGATCTCCTCCCAGACCTGGACTAAAGCATCCGCCAACTCCTGGACAGTCTATGGTGCAACGTGGCGTTGGTGGATGGAGCGAGACATGATGTCCCAGATGTGCTCAATTGGATTCAGGTCTGGGGAACGGGCGGGCCAGTCCATAGCATCAATGCCTTCCTCTTGCAGGAACTGCTGACACACTCCAGCCACAGTCTAGCATTGTCTTGCATTAGGAGGAACCCAGGGCCAACCGCACCAGCATATGGTCTCACAAGGGGTCTGAGGATCTCATCTCGGTACCTAATGGCAGTCAGGCTACCTCTGGCGAGCACATGGAGGGCTGTGCGGCCCCCCAAAGAAATGCCACCCCACACCATGACTGACCCACCGCCAAACCGGTCATGCTGGAGGATGTTGCAGGCAGCAGAACGTTCTCCACGGCGTCTCCAGACTCTGTCACGTGCTCAGTGTGAACCTGCTTTCATCTGTGAAGAGCACAGGGCGCCAGTTGCGAATTTGCCAATCTTGGTGTTCTCTGGCAAATGCCAAACGTCCTGCACGGTGTTGGGCTGTAAGCACAACCCCCACCTGTGGACGTCGGGCCCTCATACCACCCTCATGGAGTATGTTTCTGACCGTTTGAGCAGACACATGCACATTTGTGGCCTGCTGGAGGTCATTTTGCAGGGCTCTGGCAGTGCTCCGCCTGCTCCTCCTTGCACAAAGGCGGAGGTAGCAGTCCTGCTGCTGGGTTGTTGCCCTCCTATGGCCTCCTACACGTCTCCTGATGTACTGGCCTGTCTCCTGGTAGCGCCTCCATGCTCTGGACACTACGCTGACAGACACAGCAAACCTTCTTGCCACAGCTCGCATTGATGTGCCATCCTGGATGAGCTGCACTACCTGAGCCACTTGTGTGGGTTGTAGACTCCGTCTCATGCTACCACTAGAGTGAAAGCACCGCCAGCATTCAAAAGTGACCAAAACATCAGCCAGGAAGCATAGGAACTGAGAAGTGGTCTGTGGTCACCACCTGCAAAACCAGTCCTTTATTGGGGGTGTCTTGCTAATTGCCTATAATTTTCACCTGTTGTCTATTCCATTTGCACAACAGCATGTGAAATGTATTGTCAATCAGTGTTGCTTCCTAAGTGGACAGTTTGATTTCACAGAAGTGTGATTGACTTGGAGTTACATTGTGTTGTTTAAGTGTATAAAAAACAGCTAATATTTCTCTTCACCCTATGGCAAAATGTGTAGAATTGCAGAAAATTAGCTGTAAAAATGCTATTTTTTCTCTGCCCCATGGCAAAATGAGTAGAATTGCAGCAAACTTGCTTTAAAACTGCAACATTTGCTCTAAGTCCAGGAAATTAAATTGTTTCTCTCCACTGTCAAGAGGGGGGCCACTAAAATGTTTTGCCTGCAAAAGGCTAGGGGTTGGCTCTGACTGCATGTGTGGGTATGGCTGTGAGCTACTGCGGCCCGTCATGAGCTCCGATTTTTGTCACCCCCACCAAAGTTGCCCATCTCTGGTGTAATAATAAGCATCATAATGACAATGTTATATTAATATACAGTCAATACATGTGTGACTGCCTATAAATCTATTTTTACTCTTTTTATAACCCCTCACAGTAGCTGAGTGACTTTACTGCCCATGTCTCAGTAGTATAGTAGTTGAATGCTACTGCCACCTTGTGGCTACTTTTCTCATTACATATTTACTCATACTTACCACAGTTATGAGTATTTTGTTACAAAGCAACCCTGAAGTATCCATATCTTTCTTCCCCAATTCCCTTATGAAAGTTTGTCAAACTATACTGTAAAGAATACAACCCATATTTCAAACCTAATGACACTCTTTGTCTTTATAAATACTGTAGTCAGAGTATTGTCAGTCAGTGGTTCTTCACAGAGTTCGAGCGGCTGCGGCTGCGAGCTTCAGCACCAACACCCAGCTCGTCCAGGCAGCACTGCAGGTTGGCGTTCCTGTCAGGGTGGTGGTTCTCTTTGATCTTCTTCCTGATGATGGCGGCTGTCTCCTCAGAGACAGACGAGCATTTGTTCATATTGGGTAGGAAGCGTTGCAGCAGCTCCTGATTGGCTGTCTGGGCCATGCCCAACAGGAAGCGCAGGAAAACATCCAGGTTTCCATCGGGGCTCTGCAAGCTCCTCTCTATAGCGCTGCGGTGCATGTCCAGCAGCCCAGGGTCCTTGAACATGCGTGAGAACTTGCTCTTCAGCGGCTGCTGCAGGACGTTCTGCCCTGTGCACCTCCAGGTGAGGAACACGTAGAGGGCAGCCAGGTATTCTTGGATGGTGGGGTGGATGAAGGTCTGGATCCTCTCCTGGTACATGACAAACTGCTCGATCAGGAACTCAATGCACAGACCGCTCTTGGTGACTGCCTCAGCGACGTCCACCCCGCAGTCCTTCAAGGTGTCCTTGCCAATGACCATCTGGTTTTTCTCCAGCATCGTGAAGGCCAGCTTGCCCAGCTTCATCAGGAAGTCCCTCTCCTCTTCCGGGGTGCGGGAGGCAGAGCCCCTGGAGCCACGCACATGCAGGTGCACCAGCAGCAGGTGGGTGTACATCAGGGTCAGCCCCTTGGGCAGCTCTGCATCCGGCCCTTTCTCACTAAACGTGCGCTGGAAAACCCCGCACACCACCCAGCAGAACATGGGCAGATGGCACATGATGTGGAGGGTCTTGCAGGAGGTCAGGTGGGCAATCACCTTATTGGCCTGCGCTGGGTCCTGAAATCTCCTCCTGAAGTACTCCTCCTTCTGTTCGTCGGTGAAGCCACGCACCTCCAACACCTGGTGCACAGCTTCTGGGGGCAGCCGACTGGAGGTGAGGGGGCGAGAGATGATCCAGAGGAGAGACGAGGGGAGCAGGTTGCCCCTAATCAGGTTGGTCACCACCACGTGCATGGTGGCTGGCTCAGTGCTGTCACACAAAGTCTCGGTGCGGTGGAAGTCCAGGCGACGCGCATACTCATCCAGCCCGTCACAGATGAACATGACCTTGCCTTCGTCGCACTCAAAGGTGGGCAGCACCTTGGTCTCGGGGTAGAGGGTGTGGACGATCTCCAGGAGGCTGGTCTTTTGGCCCAGCATGAGGTTGAGCTCTTTGAAGGGCAGTGGGAACAGGAAGTAGACATGACTGTGCTCGCGCTCCTCGGCCCAGTCCATGATGAACTTCTGCACGGCTACAGACTTCCCTACCCCGGCGATGCCGTTGGTCACTATATGGCTCACATGCTTCTCATAGATCACATTGGGGTCAAAGATCTGCCTGCAGGTGATCAGCTCCTCTTTCTTGCGATTGGTGGACAGCTTGTCGATCTTTCTGACCTCGTGCTGGATATTGGGCCCAGCGTTGCCTCTGTCTGTTATATAGAGCTCATTAAAGACACTGTCAAAGGCCTTATGCTCTCCCTGCTGGGCAAAGCCCTCATACATACTGCTATACTTCCTCAGCAGAGTGTGTCTCAGCTCATAACGCACCTCATCTGCACAGAGAAAACACAGACATTAAAAAGGTACAGTCTAGTATACAATGCATTTGGAAAGTATTCAGGCCCCTTGACTTTTTCCACATTTTGTTACATTACAGCCTTCTGAAATTGATTAAATCGTTTTCCCTCTCAATCTACACACAATACCAAGGCAAAAATAGGTTATACATTTTTGCTGTCATGTGCCTTTTACCAAGGAGTGGCTTCCGTCTGGTCACTCTACCATAAAGGCCTGATTGGTGGAGTGCTGCAGAGATGGTTGTCCTTCTGGAAGGTTCTCCCATCTCCACAGAGGAGCTCTGTCAGAGTGACCATCGGGTTCTTGGTCACCTCCCTGACCAAGGCCCTTCTCCCCCGATTGCTCAGTTTGGCCGGGCGGCCAGCTCTAGAAAGTTTGGTGGTTCCAAACTTCTTCCATTTAAGAATGATGGAGGCCACTGTGTTCTTGGGGACCTTCAATGCTGCAGAAATGTTTTGGTACCCTTTCCCAGATCTTTGCCTCGACACAATCCTGTCTCGGATCTCTACGGTCAATTCCTTCAACCTCTTGGCTTGGTTTTTGCTCTGACATGCACTGGCAACTGTGGGAGCTTATATAGACGTGTGTACCTTTCCAAATCATGTCCAATCAATTGAATTTACCACAGGTGGACTCCAATCAAGTTGTAGAAACATCTCAAGGATGATCAATGGAAACAGGATGAACCTGAGCTCAATTTCGAGTCTCACAGCAAAGGGTCTGAATACTTATGTAAATAAGGTATTTCAGTTTTTTTTTTTTATACCTTTGCAAAAATGTCTAAACCTGTTTTTGCTTTGTCATTATGGGTTATTGTGTGTAGATTGATGAGGATTTGTATTTATTTAATCCATTTTAGAATAAGTCTGTAATGTAACAAAATGTGGAAAAAGTCAAGGGGTCTGAATACTTTCTGAATGCACTGTATTTCCTGTTCAATGGCCATTTAAATTAACAATTTTAGTGTATAGCCCATTGGTTCTTGAAGTACTGTATAACGTATAAATGCCTCATGAGCATAGCTCAACTGTTACCCTATCATAACTCAAAGTATACTTTTTTTGTTATTTTATCATTATATTACATGAATCGAATGAAATAAAGACAACGTGCATACTTTTCTTGCAGAGGTCCGTGAGGTAGTCAGCCAGGCGCTTGAGGTCCATGTCCTTCAGCAGGGCCTTGGTGAGCTGCAGGGCCACCTCTAGGTCATAACACTCCAGCAGTCTGTCCACCAGGTCCACCATGTCCATGCCCTGGGGAGGAGCGCTGAATGACTCTGGGTAACGCTTCCACAGCGTGATCTTAAATTTCCTCAGATCATCCTGCCCCAGCCTCTCCAGTGTCTTCCTGATGGCCTGGTGTCCACAGAAAAAATTAAAATAAGAGAAAAGCAATTCTCATCCACTACACTTAACTTTGGGGACATGTTGACATTTGTTGCTGAACATACAGTACATCACCTAGACAAGAGTGAAGTGTGAGCCCACCTTGAAGGTGAAGTCTACAGTCATGGCAGGGTGCCTCTTCTCGCCTGGGTTTTTGATCAGCTCTGGTCTTAGAGGAAGTTCCACTTCAGGACTCTCTGCTTTAGGTGCAGCGCTTTGAGACCTGGAGAGGTGGTGGAAGATTAAATATTTCTACACATACTGGTGCATGAGCCTATCCACAGATATTACCATTTTGTAAACAAATGGACATACATGCACAAACACCAACATTATACTCCCACTGAACCCAGGAACAAATACTCACATAAACATATGCATAATTATACCATAATAACACACTTTAACATAGATTGCATCCTGTCTGTGCCTGATCAAACATGGAGGACTTTTCTTACTTCCTGGTTCTGTTCTCACAGTCATCACTGTCAACGGAGTAGCAGCTGGAGTAAGACTCTGTTCTTTCCAGCTGGACTCTGTAAATAGAACATCACATAGAAAATAAATAAATAATCAGCAGTAGTGAAATAGTGCTGCTTCAAGGAGCCGTTGTGAACATAATATAACAAATATGTTGACGTACTGTAATCCTTTACAACGGTTTGTGTTCCTGTTTTGTGTTTATACTTTGTAAAAAATATATATACAGTGAGGGAAAAAAGTATTTGATCCCCTGCTGATTTTGTACGTTTGCCCACTGACAAAGACATGATCAGTCTATAATTTTAATGGTAGGTTTATTTGAACAGCGAGAGACCGAATAACAACAACAAAATCCAGAAAAACGCATGTCAAAAATGTTATGAATTGATTTGCATTTTAATGAGGGAAATAAGTATTTGACCCCTCTGCAAAACATGACTTAGTAGTTGGTGGCAAAACCCTTGTTGGCAATCACAGAGGTCAGACGTTTCTTGTAGTTGGCCACCAGGTTTGCACACATCTCAGGAGGGATTTTGTTCCACTCCTCTTTGCAGATCTTCTCCAAGTCATTAAGGTTTCGAGGCTGACGTTTGGCAACTCGAACCTTCAGCTCCCTCCACAGATTTTCTATGGGATTATGGTCTGGAGACTGGCTAGGCCACTCCAGGACCTTAATGTGCTTCTTCTTGAGCCACTCCTTTGTTGCCTTGGCCGTGTGTTTTGGGTCATTGTCATGCTGGAATACCCATCCACAACCCATTTTCAATGCCCTGGCTGAGGGAAGGAGGTTCTCACCCAAGATTTGACGGTACATGGCCCCGTCCATTGTCCCTTTGATGCGGTGAAGTTGTCCTGTCCCCTTAGCAGAAAAACACCCCCAAAGCATAATGTTTCCACCTCCATATTTGACGGTGGGATGGTGTTCTTGGGGTCATAGGCAGCATTCCTCCTCCTTTAAACACGGCGAGTTGAGTTGATGCCAAAGAGCTCGATTTTGGTCTCATCTGACCACAACACTTTCACCCAGTTCTCCTCTGAATCATTCAGATGTTCATTGGCAAACTTCAGACGGCCCTGTATATGTGCTTTCTTGAGCAGGGGGACCTTGCGGGCGCTGCAGGATTTCAGTCCTTCACGGCGTAGTGTGTTACCAATTGTTTTCTTGGTGACTATGGTCCCAGCTGCCTTGAGATCATTGACAAGATCCTCCCGTGTAGTTCTGGGATGATTCCTCACTGTTCTCATGATCATTGCAACTCCACGAGGTGAGATCTTGCATGGAGCCCCAGGCCAAGGGAGATTGACAGGTCTTTTGTGTTTCTTCCATTTGTGAATAATCGCACCAACTGTTGTCACCTTCTCACCAAGCTGCTTGGCAATGGTCTTGTAGCCCATTCCAGCCTTGTGTAGGTCTACAATCTTGTCACTGACATCCTTGGAGAGTTCTTTGGTCTTGGCCATGGTGGAGAGTTTGGAATCTGATTGTTTGATTGCTTCTGTGGACAGGTGTCTTTTATACAGGTAACAAGCTGAGATTAGGAGCACTCCCTTTAAGAGTGTGCTCCTAATCTCAGCTCGATACCTGTATAAAAGACACCTGGGAGACAGAAATCTTTCTGATTGAGAGGGGGTCAAATACTTATTTCCCTCATTAAAATGCAAATCAATTTATAACAATGTGTTTTTCTGGATTTTATTGTTACTATTCTGTCTCTCACTGTTCAAATAAACCTACCATTAAAATTATAGACTGATCATTTCTTTGTCAGTGGGCAAACGTACAAAATCAGCAGGGGATCAAATACTTTTTTCCCTCACTGTATATACACGTGTAATGCAAGTGCATGTATTTTTTGTGTGGCCGAATGCTTTTGCACATGCTTTCATTGTACTGTATGTTAATGTAAGTGTATGGGTGTCTATAAATCAACATGTTTTTGTGTACCTAGTAGCAGACAGCTCAGTTTCTTCATCCAGTTCATCAGATTGACAGAATTGGGTATCACTGTATACGGAATTGTAGCTGTGGACTGGGGATCGAGCCCTTTCCACATCATGCCTGCCAAACAAACCGAATACCCCCCCCCCACACACACCAACTATGAATGATTGAGGATGGGGAAAGGATCAAGCTTAATTCTGGGCACGTGACATGTGCTGTGGTATGGTCAGTGTCTCACCAGTAAGTAGTGTCCATGGGTCTTGGGCCATCTCCCAGGTCCAGGGTCGGTCTACTCTCAGGCACATAGAAAGCCTCCTCTCCCTCATCAGACATAGAGATACTACTTCTTCCTCTGCCAGACACACCCTCTCCCAACGGAAAACTGACATCTGATATAGTTTCCCCTCCATCATGCTCCATCGTGTCAGAGCCTCGCCCAGCCATCCTGGAGAACCTCAGGTGTACAGGTTCAGGGTCACAGTTCAAAGTCTGACGTCAATCGCTACTTGAATGGTGCCAGACAGTACACATGTGTTTGTAAGAAGAAAAAACACGCACACCTGTGGATAATGTAAAATATTGGCAGTCGATCAAATGCATGTAACTTAAGCATACATCATTTTTTACCATTATCATAAGTAATTCTATAACCATTACAGACTTGTTGCGACTTGCGTGTAGGTCTCTCTTACCATGAAAAAAAGCGGAAATACCGAACCTTTCTGTTCGAGTCGAGCTTGTTTTGAAACCTCTGGGCTACCAAATTCACTTCCTGCCTCCTTTATGGCGATTCAGTGTACTAAAACATAATGTGTACGCATTCAAAATACACTTAACACAACCCTAGACCTAATAAACGGCCAAAAGTTCCCGGTTAAAATGCTAAATATAGACCATAGACAGGGCCGCACTAACTTTTGCCTCCGACAGCTATCAAAGGTAGAACAATGAGCAAGATAATTCACCAGATGTATCCATGTGAAGCATCCGGTTGACGTTTCCACTCACTACCAAATATGGTAGAGAGGAAGCCCAATGGCCAGCAGTGGGAGAAGATGGAAAGAGATGAATTTGGCCGACATTCTGATAATTTGCTCATCGATGAAAGATTTGATCTCAATACAGATTTATGTTCCCAAAACTACAATATGTTATGAACAGTGTGGACTAAGTTCTGTAGACTTTACCCTTCGCCAAAGTGTCAAAAATTGGCGTTGTTTATAAAGAGTGCAAAGGCGAATGAGTTATTGCACACGCGCACTTCACAGAGTAGGCGTTCCCCAACGGAAAAATGCAAATATCAGTGGTTGGAACGGGCCAATAGGATCTCGCTAGTTCATGCTTGGCTCTGTCACCTCTAACTTGTTCTGCCCACTAAGCCTAATTTATTCCCATTTGAAACGACAGGCTGTGGTCTATCTTGGTTTAGTTATAAAAATCTTTGGTACTATTCTGCCAGCAGAACGATGACGTCACTTTGTATGGTAATAAAAAAAAAAACTTCAAAAGAAAAGCCCACATTGTAATATCGTTAGATGATTAAAAAGATATTGAATTTTAATCAATGGCCACTTTTATTGTGCCAACAAGAAAAGGCGATAAGTAATTTATAAAATAAAATAAATAAAATAGTGACCACTGCGCCACTCGGGAGGCCAATACAAATTGGATTGTAGAGAGAACTTTCTACCTGTCTCAGCTAAAGTGGGCTGGGAAATACTCAGTATGATTCGTTTTTGAGGGGGACTGTGTCATACATATCCAGCAGCACTTCGTTCTCCACCCCCTCCCTTTAGCTGAGACAGTAGGGTCTCTACAACCCAATATGTATTTAATGCAATTTAGTGTCTTGCATTGGGTGCTATGGAAGGGGTGGAGTAAAAAGCCATATTTGGATAGTAGAGACCCTACTGAATATTTTCCACCCCACTTTAGCTGAGACAGTTGTATTTTTCTCTCTACAACCCAATGTGTATCCCATGTACAGCATATTGCATTGCAGTGAATGGAGTAGGTTGAGCAAGGAGTCACCAGTACTCTGTATTAAACCCATCGCCCAGCACAAGAGACCAATTTAAGTTTTTGCAGACTCTATTGAGTAATTCCAATAACATATATTTGTATTTTATTAAAAGTGTATTTCTTTAAATATAACGTACACAATAGCTTTCAGCATAGGAGTATGTGTGTAAACTTTCAAAAGAAATGCTGGTATAAATAATAATAATAATAATAATAATAATAATAATAATAGTAATAATAATAATATTAAAATACGTCAAATTATCCATACATTTTTTCGAAGGCGATTGCAGTGCTGTGAAAAACAGTTGTACTCTACTAGAGTGTTAAAAAAATAGATATTCCCAAGGTTTAGCACGATCCTGCTGCCAGGAAACGGTAATAAACTGTAGGCTGATTTTAATTTCGTAGGTACCTCCTTCCATGGTCTCACATGCACGTAGTTAAAGAGACCGCGAATGTTTTAGACTGTCGATATACCAAATCTCTAATTCATACCACTGAACAAAAATATGAACCCAATGTAAAGTGTTGGTCCCACATTTCATGAGCTGAAATAAAATATCCAAGAAATGCAAAAAAAGCTTATTTCCCTCAAATTCTGTGCAAAAATTCTGTGCAAACAATGATGTCTTAGAGAATTTGGCAGTACGTCCAACCGGAGACCACGTGTATGGCGTTGTGTGTAGGGCCAGTGGTTTGCTGATGTCAACGTTGTGAACAGAGTGCCCCATGGTGGCGGTGGGGTTATGGTGTGGGCAGGCATAAGCTATGGACAATGAAAACAATTGCATTTTATCGATGGCAATTTGAATGCACAAGAGATACCGTGACGAGATCCTGAGGCCCATTGTCATGCCATTCATCTGCTGCCATCACCTCATGTTTCAGCATGATAATGCACGGCCCCATGTCACAAGGATCTGTGCACAATTCCTGGAATTGTGAAAATGCCCCAGTTCTTCCATGGCCTGCATACTCACCAGACATGTCACCCATTGAGCATGTTTGGGATGCTCTGGATCGACGTGTACTACAGTGTGTTCCAGTTCCCGACAATATCCAGCAACTTCGCAACAGCCTGATCAACTCTATGCAAATGGTGGTCACACCAGATACTGAATGGTTTTCCGATCCATGCCCCTACATTTTATTAAAGGTATCTGTGACCAACAGATGTATATCGGTATTCCCATTCATGTGAAATCCATAGATTTGGGCCTAATGAATTTATTTCAATTGACTGATTTCCTTATATGAACTGTAACTCAGTAAAATCTTTTAAATTGTTGCATTTTGCTTTATATGTTTGTTCAGTATAGTTTAACCACAGAGTTTCTAAACTGGTTTACCAGCAAAGACCAGACAGATCAAAAGAATGGCAAAGACTTCTCCACATAGTTTGGGCCGTCAGGCTCACTTGGGGTGATGATGTCTCAGTGATTTGTTTAAAGGTCTATGTCCCTAGAGTTGTAAAATGTGTGATAGCAGTGCGGCAATTGGAGCTTTCTCTGTGATCACTCTTTCTTTCATTCCTCCATTCCATTCATTTTTCCCATAGGGATTTTACCCTATGACAAACAATGTCAGTATACAACAGGTTATTGCTCACATATAACCTTTAATCATATACTGTATCATTGGAAAGCTTAGATTCATAGCTATCCAACAGACACATTTTCGGAATGTTCACGTCAACAGAACTACAGTGCCTTCAGAAATGGCATATTATTATTATTATAGAAAGTATTCAGACCCATTGACTTTTTCCACATTTTGTTACATTACAGCCTTATTCTAAAATGGATTACATTTTTTAAAATCCTCAGCAATCTACACACAATACCCCATAATGACAAAGTGAAAAGAGGTTTTTAGAAATGTTTAATCAAAATTTATTAAAAAGAAAAAACAGAAATACCTTATTTACATAAGCATTCAGACCCTTTGTTATGAGACTTGAAATTGAGCTCAGGTGCATCCTGTTTCCATTGATCATCCTAGAGATGTTTATACTTGATTGGAGTCCACCTGTGGTAAATTCAATTGATTGGACATGATTTGGAAAGGCACACACCTGTCTATATAAGGCCCCACAGTTGACAGTGCATGTCAGAGCAAAAACCAAGCCATGAGGTCGAAGGAATTGTCCGTAGAGCTCTGAGACAGGATTGTGTCGAGGCACAGATCTGGGGAAGGGTACCAAAACATTTCTGCAGCATTGAAGGTCCCCAATAGCACAGTGGCCTCCATCATTCTTAAATGGAAGAAGTTTGGAACCACCAAGACTCTTCCTAGAGCTGGCCGCTTGGCCAAACTGAGCAGTCAGGGGAGAAGGGCCTTGGTCAAGGAGGTGACCAAGAACCTGATGGTCACTCTGACAGAGCTCGAGTTCCTCTGTGAAAATGGGAGAACCTTCCAGAAGGACAACCATCTCTGCAGCACTCCACCAATCAGGCCTTTATGGTAGAGTGGCCAGACGTAAGCAACTCAGTAAAAGGCACATGACAGCCCGCTTGGAGTTTGCCAAAAGACACCTAAAGACTGTCTGACCATGAGAAACAAGATTCTCTGGTCTGATGAAACCAAGATTGAACTCTTTGGCCTGAATGCCAAGCGTCAGATCTGGAGGAAACCTGGCACCATCCCTACGGTGAAGCATGGTGGTGGCAGCATCATGCTGTGAGGATGTTGTTCAGCGGCAGGGACTGGGAGACTAGTCAGGATCGAGGGAAAGATGAACGGAGAAAAGTACAGAGAGATCCTTGATGAAAACCTGCTCCAGAGCACTCAGGACCTCAGACTGGGGTGACGGTTCACCTTCCAACAGGACAACGACCCTAATCAGAGCCCGGACTTGAACCCGATCAAACATCTCTGAAGAGACCTGAAATTAGCTGTGCAGCAACGCTCCCCATCCAACCTGACAGAGCTTGAGAGGATCTGTAGAGAAGAATGGGAGAAACTCCCCAAATACAGGTGTGCCAAGCTTGAAGCGTCATACCCTAGAAGACTCAAGGCTGTAATCGCTGTCAAAGGTGCTTCAACAAAGTACTTAGTAAAGGGTCTGAATAATTATGTAAATGTCAGATTTCAATTTATTTTATTTTATAAATGAGCAAACATTTCTAAAAACCTTATTTTGTTTTGCCATCATGCGGTATTGTGTCATTATGCGGTATTGTGTGTAGATTGATGAGGGGAAAAATTAATTGAATCAATTTTAGAATAAGGCTGTAACCTAACAAAATGTGGAAAAAGTAATGGGTCTGAATACTTTCCAAAGGCACTGTATGACCTTTGACCTCTAGGGTATGAGAATTACCTTTATAAATTGCTTTTAAAAAGGGAACCCTAATACATTTTAAACTTTGTTTGACAACATGAAATTACCTTTCAAATTATATATAATATAACCAACT